AATAGAGCGACGACAGTCGACGAGACGCGCTGTTCAAACAATGCCATAACGGTATGAGACGGCAATTTTAATTCTTTTCATATGAGGATACATTATTGAAAAGGTCATATTGTCTATTAGGGGGTTGTTAAAATGTCTTTATCGTCATGTGGTATTCAAACAAACGTATATATTTCGGGCATAAATCAAGTCATAGTAGGAATTTATCTACCCACCACACTGTTCGTAAGTCATTTCCGTTACTTCTATTAAGTAGGTAAGTCAGTGCTACAGCCAGCTCCTGGATTTCAAAATTAACATACGGCTGTCATGACATATGACAGACAGTAGATTGTCATATGCGTCCCCTTAAAGCTAATTAGTACAGAGTCCCGTGGGTCACACCGGGAAGGTTTATGTGGATTGCCTACGTGGCCTAACGTGGCCGCGTGGCTACGTACACATTGTGCGCTGACCTCCTCTGACCTTTTACATTTCCTGCTATTGCCGACGGACAGTTTTTCATTAGGAATAGCTTTCATGACATATATTCACACACTTTGCAATAAGTGTAATGCGCACTAAATACACACTGCCTTCATGGCTTCATCGGACATTTGCAAATGAAATGTCTAAGAATACTGACATTTACTGGCTATTTCATAGAAATGAATTATGATATTTTAGCAACACTAAAAAGCTTTCTGATGTAGCGGTACGTTTTATGATTTTAATTATATTTGGTATTCCGAAGTTCAATTTGTTTATAAAACTAGTTTTACTATCACTTCTATAAGTAGATATCAAGTTGACTGCCGTAAGTAGGTATTCTTTCTAGATTTCATCCTACTTTTCATTTCGACATAGCAACAGGTCGACATCTATTCGACCGAAGCCGTGGACGTCTTGGTCTCTGGTTAACATTATCAATTTGTTTTACAACTATCTTGACATACTTACAATACATAAAAACTTATATAAAATTATGTAGATGGAAAAATAATTCGAACATGTTAATGTTCCACTGTGTTATCGCCATTCTTCATTGAATTTAAGCTATTATCTGTGGTTTATTGACTATTAAGTAATCTTTTATGAAGTAGGTAGGCGTTCATGCAGGAGAAAATAGAATTGCTTTCGCGAATAGCTGTTAAGCACGCAGGGCTTTATATATCTATCTCTGCATTGAGTAGTAACAAATGTCATTAAACAGTTTTTATTACCTACAAACTAAATACCCATTTAAACGGTCTACGTACACTTTACCCTATTAAAATTGTGTATTTTTTAAACTCGAAAAATAGTCAGTATCTAAGTATTTAAATTTCCACTATTACAGATAGCAATCAAATCAAAACAATCAATCAATTGATTCAAATTCAAAACTGATTGTTTCAGGAAGCTATTTACATGCTTTTAAAATTGGAAAATGGAGTCTGTCAATAATCCATAATATTTGATTTTTACAAAAAATCGTTTGTGGCTAGCACCGGTACCTACACAATCAAAATGAAAATGGCGGCCATTTTCTAGCCTACGTCAGCACGTTCGTTATTGGTCGGTACGTCCGTAGCACGTGCGCAGCGTCGCGACGCAATACCTATTCTCTTTATGAACGTCCGCCATGAAAGTCGTCATCTCTGGCAGGACCAATCACGACACGCACATTTTTAGCACAGTTTCCTATCTACCGTTATTTCTTTTCATTAAAATACCTATTACACAAATATTAATGCACTTTCGCACTATTCGTCAGAGATAAGTATACAATAGATAGCGTTATGTATGTACATGTTAAATTGATATGAAATACAAATGCTCGTAGTTGTACCTCCATATTTTCTTTGTAATCGTTATCAATAGGTAACATGTGATATAGATAATTCAAATGAGAGTGTGTACATTAGGGATTTGTCAAAAACCTGCCTACATTTTCAGCCATTCATATTATTGTGTGCAGTAAGATAATGCTGGTATTACCACTGATATGATTAAGTGATTTAGCGATTATCGTTTTCTATATACGAGTAGGCCCAAAATTTGTAAGAGATTTAAAAGATCTGATCACAATAGTGATTGTAAATTGTTTATGAGAAATAGAAGACAAATTAACCCTAAAATTGAGATAAAGATACGAATAATTTGATACATTTGTCAGTGTTCATGGTGCAAGCGACCTTACTAATATAAACTTTAAGTAGATTGGCGTCGGGGCACTTGCTCCATTCAACGGTCGAAATAAATAACAACAACAATCTATTAGATTTGAGATATAATCTGGTGCAAGTGCGTGTTTCATCACTGGCCGGTGCAAATCCGCGGGAGGTTCTTTCATTTCACAATAGCTGTCTGTTCGGTATAAGCCGACTGATTTAGCTGGCTTCGTAAATGAGCTAAACCGAAGCGAATACGGTGCCTAGCGCACCGCCCAGCGCAAAGAATAAAATTAACTTTACACACAGACAAGTCTCAGCTTTTAGGACCCAATAATTTGCAAGCTATTCGAGTCTCTGTAGAACTCTAGAGTTATAACAGGATAAATACTCACCAAACATTTTTTTATTGATATACGCAATCTGTCATTAGCATAGAATGCATATAGCATGTAGTTATATACCGATATATAGGTAGATAGACAGCAATAATACATGACGTAGAAAATTACTTAAATTATAATCAAGTCATTTGTTAATTCATAATGACCCTCACATATATACTTATGTATGCATAGATGTCTTCTTCTGTTTAACCACTACCTTTAGCTACGGTAAAATCTAGAAGGAGTGTTTATTAAAGTTTGATGTATTGGAGGATAAAAAATAAATATTAAAAAACTTAATGCGTTATATGTGTAAAAGAGTTATAGTGTTCTGTGTAGTGCGCTGTTGGTTTTTATTGCTAGACTTTGTATCTTAGAGACTACATCGTGGTTCGGTGTGGCTCTGTGGCAGTATAGTCTATGTGGTTGTTGCTCAAGCTCGTCTAGTCGCGGTGGAGGAGCCACTGCGCAATCGTTCGATCCGCAAAGGTCATGGAAGGAATTCGCGCGGTCCGGCGCACTTGCGACACCCCACGCTGCTCCAAAGAGGTTCCGATCGCTGCCGACCGGGCTCACCGATTACTTTAACTCTATTTCACCTGTTCGCAACAAAAAACGAATCGAATTACAGAACATGCACGAATTGCGTTCTATTTAATAGTAAAAACGAATAACGTTTAAACTATGCGCACTTAATCGTAGACATACTAGTTGAAGTCGTCAACATTAAACAATAGAAAAGCAAACAGATAAAACACTACACATAACTTATCAATATTTACATATTCTATCATGGCATGAACTAATAGGAAATTACTTCACACTTACCTTTACCCAGATACCTATCTAGTCTATATAGGTATACTTAGAAATAAGTACGCATATTCATAATACATCTACTATAAGTGATTATTGTTACAGAAAAATCTACTTACACATCAAGTTCAGTAAAACAGTAAGTTATTATAAGACCAACTAAAAATAAAGAAGAATGATATACTATGCAATCGTTCGAAGAAGTAACTTCTTCAGGTGTGTCGAGGTAGTAACACATTCCAACTAAATGGGTAAACGGAAATAGAATTGGCTAGATTCCTAGGTTTAAAATAAATTGTTTCAACGTTTCAATACAATGTACCTACTTTTGTTTTTTTTCACAAATTTTAAGCAAATAAGTATGCTATTTGACGCTGAAATACGATGACGTCATAAGTTGCGATCTAGTACAAAATTCATAGAAAAGTATCGTTTTTGACATTTCAATAAAAGTACTGAATTTGACTACTTGTCAACTACCGTATTGTATTGCAATAAAATAGAGCTTCTAAAGAGATGTAAAAGATTTGTCTGACATGAAAGCAAGCTTAATGATTGATTACCCGCGCAGGTGTACAGGCGCACATACTACACACCACGTAGTACATCTACTACAGCTTACAAGTTTTACTACAACTACATTAATTTTATCGTCACTCGTAAACGGCGTGCAGTCGTTTAAGGTGTACTTCTATCGAAGTGCTTAGAGATTAAACACTTTCTAATTTATCTACAATTATATTGTGGCCCATAAAACGATTGATTACTTTTCTCCTTTGACATATCTGACAATACTTCACATAGAATAAAATGCTGACATGTTGATTCGACAATTTAAATTAATTTTGATGTCAGAATCTCATCCCGAAATGTGTTCGTATGAAGTGATCCGATATGAAAGCTCTTGCTCGTCACCTGCGCGCGCGCGTGGGCCTGTCGCTATTGTATGCTAATATCGCACGCCGCGCCGCGCGCCGGCGCAACACCGCTTGCCCACCTAGCAAGGAGAAATTGTTCAAAATTGTGTAAATTCATAATGTTAATCGTAACTGTAATCCTCTTAAGTATGATTGATGAAGCCAATCAGTTTCCAGAAGCACGACGCCACTTGTATGAGCTTTTTATAAAATATAAACACATCGGTATTCCGGGTGTATATCACATCGGTGGATCATTCCCACTACAAATAGTGTCTACTTTATTTAGCATTTTGACTACTTTCGTAATTCATAGCCAAAACATTAATAAGTAAACACTTTACTTTGGTAAACGCAAAGGTAAACTTCTTTAGAAAACGCATCAAATTCTATTGTACAAGGTAATTACGAGCAGCCTACTTTTATGAGAAAATGTTTGTAGATATTAATAAGTAAATAGGAATATAAGTACCTGATGGACTAGTTAAAATATGTCGTCTTCACCACGTAGGAAGGTACCCAGGTACTTGATTATTTTCGAGTCACATATATAGAATAGATATCTAATGGAGTCATAACCTGGTGCTGTGTCTATCATGATAATGCTACAAGTTCATAAATCCTTAGATATACAGTATTTCTTTATAGTCAAACCTCTAAACATTAAATCAAGAAGACTTTCTAATGTTATTAGCATTAGAATAGGATTTTCATAATAGGTTCGCGATAAGTATCTGCAAATCATCAAACGACGTCTGTTTGTTTTGTTACAGACATCTGAGCTAGAGTCGCTGCTGTGTAAGCAGGAGGGCGCCTCACTCGCGCCCGCCCACATGGACCTTTTCGACGGTGGAACTTCCTCACGCGACGATGCATTCCTCCGGCCTGCCCTATGGGAGGACATCGCTTCCTCCATCAGAAACATCGACCCCGAGAACGCGAACATGCTCGCGCCACTCGGCTCCACACACGTCAAGCTGGAAGCTGACGAGGCGCTCCTGGAGGAGTGCGCCACCCCGCTACTCAGTCCCCTCGAGATCAAGACGGAGAGGCTTTGCGCGCCTCCCACGTATGCGCATCCGCAGCCACCGCAGCACCAGCCGCCGCACCAGCCGAACACCTCGTTCGCCAAGTACCCGCCCTCGCGACTCGTGTACATGTCCCCGCTGACGCCGCCCAGCTCCGAGCAGGGCAGTCCCGGCAACACGATGCAGGTAACACGCACCTCCAGAGAGCTGGCGTCGCTCGCGTACGGATGGTACCATCTATTGCACAGCGATCTATTTATGTCGTGTCCCTTCTTTAATTGCAGTAAAGTAATAAAAAAATATAGCACTTGGGAGTCGTTCTGGTTGTATAATTGTGATCAGGACAGTGGTAAGGTCCTGTAAATGATAATGAAGTCCCCGATTTATGAGTCGAGCAACATTTGTGGTGTTATTCGCAGGGCGCAGGCCGGCGCACGCCGCCCCCGCCGTATCACCCGCCACCGCTGCTCAGAGCGCCACACGTGCCGCCGCATCCTGGCCCGCACCAACATCACCATCCACAGGTGACTAACTCAACTTAACTCTAATCTTATCGTACGTATAATACCTACGTATAACAATTAAATTACAATTAGGCTATAAATAGAAATATTGTTCTGTGCTAGTTTAGATTAAGTATGTTTATGTTTTTAAGTATGTTTATTAAGTATAGTTTATGATTAACTACCACACAAATAAAATGTGTGGTAGTTAATCATAAATGAATAAAGTAGTTTGTTCCGATGCAGCCGATGGCGCCGGTGCAGGTGGCGCCGCAGCCACCGCCGCCGCCAGTACACCACACACCGCTGCAGCACGCGCGCCTGGCGCCGCCGCACCACGTCAAGTACAACCGGCGGAACAACCCCGAGCTCGAAAAGAGAAGAGTGCACCATTGTGACTTCATAGGTAACACATTAAATATCACGCTTGTATCCATAAACCAATCATGTTTCAAACATAAACCGTATTCCGACTTGATTTGAGTACATCAGTAATGGAAAAATTACATACCTTCAGGATGCAGGAGTAATATAACCTAATTGTGAAAATTTTCCACCTAGGTACACAATAATTATGTCGAAAAAGAAACGTTTACAATCAGCAAATCAACAACACATATTAATAACAGGTACATCTGCAACAGTAGAGTCGAGTTATCACTAGCGAGATATATGTAGGAAACTGTTTAGGTACTTTTAGAAAAACCATGCTGTAGAAAAAAACTCTCAGACATTGGAAACACATATACAAAACTTTTTATTACATTTCAAAATGTTCTTGGGATGTTTAAAATTTCCTTTAGATTTGATTTTGGTACAAGTACAAACCAAAACACCAAACAAGTTACCTACATACGTATACATTCAATGGCACTAGCGTCTAGCACAATGTGGAGTAAGCTGACGATACAATAAAGATAGCTTGGTAGCCAAGTTTACGAGCTGATTGGTCAAGTGTGCCGGTGACCTCGGTTGAGGATATAACCCTAAATCTTTTGAACCACCCACGCCTCACCAATACTTTGTCCTGATCGATCACAGATCTGGTAAAACGGTAAAACATCCGCGTTTTGCATGCGTGCAACATAAATCTACATAATTTAATCGGACAGTCAATCCTGTTTTACCTTTGTTTGTGTTGTATGTTGTTTTGTTCGAACTACTCTTCTTCTGACGTCAAACCCAAGTGTGTTTTAAGGAAGGAACTGTTATTTTCAGGTTGTACCAAAGTCTACACAAAAAGTTCGCATCTAAAGGCGCACCAGCGGATACACACAGGTATAACCTGCACTCATAATTATATTACTGACCCTGCGACTGCGAAATAATTGTCATAATCTAGGTGGCAATGCGAATATACCCTCTTAGTACTAAGAATCTCAATATACACGTGTTCGAAGAAGTCTTGTATTTTAATTTAACTCAACCGTCTCCTTACTATGTACGTGGACTACTCAACAGCCCAGCGAAAGTAACAAATATACCTAATGGCAACAATGTACCTAAGTACCTACTGTGTTACGAGTATCGTTTAAATTTCACCGCAGTATATTGTCACTTGTCCAATTTATTTAACACAGACTTCTTACCTAGTAACTACTTTCTAAAAACCTTAATTTGACCCAGTACTCAGAGCCCTATACAAACTTCCTTATCGAGACACGTGGTAGAGTTCATTGATATCGAACTGAAATTATGAAAGTCAACAAAGCTTGCCGATTAGGCAAATTTCCTTCGCTGAGTTTCTGGAAATAGCTCGAGACGTGACTTGATGTTATGACAGCATAACGACTATGGGTGCTGCATCGATGACACGATTCTGTCGCTATACATGAATCTTGCATGATACCTACATGCTTGATATACAACCAAGTGCAGTGCCCGATGAATTAGGACATGCTAACTGTAAAATGTGAAGTAATAACAGGGGCTTGTCTAGACAATACATCAAGTACTACATCGGAACGACACCACAACCTCGTAAAAGCAGTTGCGTTAATAGTACCACTGCACTGGCCACTAGCAAGTGGTCAAAATGTGGTCGCTATCAAAATGTGTCGCGAATAATGTAATATCATGGTGTACGTAAGACGTGTTCATGCTGGATAGCAGTGGCAGTGACCAGTTGTGTGTTCCCAGGTGAGAAGCCGTATACGTGTCAGTGGCCGGAGTGCGAGTGGCGGTTCGCGCGATCTGACGAGCTGACGCGTCACTACCGCAAGCACACGGGGGCCAAGCCATTTAAATGCGCCGTCTGCGAACGCTCATTCGCACGATCAGACCACTTGGCACTGCACATGAAGAGGCACCTGCCCAAGACGTCTAAATGACACACGAGGAGGGGCGGGGAACAGCCGCCCGCTCCACACAACACTCAGGTAACAACAAAGGTTCTAATGTTAATCTCTGCTTTATCATTTCATCTACTTTTTGTATTAATTAAAACTATTTGCACGACTGTTTTTAAAAACTGTCAAATGTAACACTGCCCTTCCTTTATCAACCAACTGAAATCATTTTAGTCTGTTTAAGTAATTTACTTAACGATTGAATCTTATTTATTTCATATTAATTCTTACGTAGTAGTAATACGTTTTTTTCATTTCACAATATCATTATATTTTTCAGGAGGAGTGCAGTGAGAGCATCTTCCTGGAGTGTGACCTGGACACTACCCTGATGGACACGTTCTACGGCGTACTGTGACCGAGCACGGTGCTCCAGCTCATCGGCTCACTACCATGTCAACCATGCTTATTGTATATTTTGTTAAAGCGAAGCTGACAACACCCCACGAACTTCAAGTGTCATTGACATTCAAACGACTGTTAATAAAGTTTCCAGTGAATATGATTTATAAAACAAATCTTCCATCGTTAAAGAGTGATGGTACTTAATGTGAGTAAGTAGTTAAGTACTCGTACACAACTATCAGTTAACCATAAATATACGATTATTCTCGCTATAAAGTCACAATACGTACAATACAACAGCATTACCAAGGAAATCGCTTTACATAATATATACCTTATTAATTGTAAATGACTCAATTAGTCATGTTATGATGTAAATTAAAATGACAAATGTTTTAATGGAGCGAGGTTTACGACACCGTTGCTATAGGCTCTCGTTGCTTGAGTCTTGCTTCAATCACTGAAGCCCAGAACAATTCCGATTTTGTTAATTAATCACCATGCACTCAGTGTACAAGTGTAACAGAACTTACAAGTGCTAGTTGGTTCAGATCCGAGTCAGTCTTTATTTTGTTTTATAGTATAACAACATTTTTTGATAAGTATAATTATTAAATACTTACAGTTAGTATAAAAAATTCATATTTTTAATAGGAATCACAATATTTTTGAGTAACAGGGAAGGGTAAAACATAAGTATACCTCTTGTTTCCCCACGTTATAACTCTGGTATAGACAAACACTAAAAATTAAGAGATTCCTAAAATAATTGCTCACTACAACAGCAACGGTGTCGATGAAAAACTTCGTGAATTAAAAGCTCTAAGTATTCATTAGATATGATTAGTTAATTTATAGTAAGTTAATTAATAAGAGAGCAAGGAATATCCAAGATATTATCTTTTAATATTATTATTGCGTAAATATCAGTAAGTAGAAGTATGTTAGTCTTAATGTACGGACGCATGTTTCAATGGTACGATCTCAGTGTCGAAGTTGTACAAATGTAAGAAATAATATTTAGAAAGGAGGTCTAACGATATCGTTTTATTTTAATAAAATCTACCTTTTATTAAAATGGAACGATGGATCTAAAATAATATCTACAAATCTACAATAGACTACGTAGTAAATAAATATGAAATTATGGTTATTAAATGACTCTGACTGTGAGAAAGACGTATCTATGCAATGTAAATGCAATGTCTTGCAGTAGCTTTATGGCTGACAACAGAAATTGAATACCGACTTGTAATTGCGACTCTCGTAAAGACTACATTCATAAGCTTTATAACTGAATATATTATATTAAGTAACGTCGTACTCTATGACCTAAGATCGTATTATTGGAACATTCAAATTTTACACTTTCTAGTCTCGATTTATTAAAGTTTGTTTTTTTCACATTATCATATCATCAACGGATAGCCTAAACAATTGTCTGGCAAAATGAAGCAACATGTTTCATAATACATATTTTATAATTGATATTAATATGTATTTATTTTATACTTTCTAATATATTAACAGTTTAAATATTATAGAAAATTAATAACGTAGCGCCTAATATAATGTTAACTTGTATCTTACGAAGTGCTTTAGGCAGTTTAGTAAGGAATATATTGAATCAGCCTTATTGCCTCCGTCCAGGTGTTTGTACGCTCGCTACGGCGACAACCGGCCACACATTTTATACCTAAATCTTATAATATTTACTATAACGCATTTGCCATCTTGAATAGTCACTAGTATTTTGTGCTACACTAAGTTATGCTTACCTATCCTGCAGTTTAAATAACATTAGGAGAACAATTCTTATTATACGTTGCTTTTTTTCTTGAATTTGTATTGGTAATAAAGACTTAGTACCTTTGTACATATTTGTAATCGTCCATTAGGTTTCAATGATATCTGTGTTCCAAAATGAAATTAAATCATTCTAATGTTATTTTTGATGCAGTGTCTTCAGAAAGTAGGATTTAATTAATATTTAGCCTTATATTTACAAAAAATGTAGTTTCATTTTCATAGCGCTTCTTGCCTCTATTTATAAATCAGAGTAACCAAGCCTGTTAACTTGAAGTAACTACGATAGCATACTTGTATTTAATGCTGCTCCACATCGTATATGTATAAGTATATGTACCTACCTACATATTTACAAATATATTATATAGGCTTCTTACTTTATTTACTACACTTTGAAGTACAGGAAACTACAAAAATAAGTAATGAATAAGTAATGTTGGCTGAGATAATACTATACAGTTAGGAACTCGGCTGTTATCAACAATTTACTTAAAAGGTAAGAATTCCATAAGTAATGTTTTGGTAGTTATCTGTACTTCCCCAGTGCAATAAAGATATTTAAAAGATTTTATCATAACCCACACTTCACATCCTTCATGTACCATATAAGATCTCCATACGTAATAAAATCGGAGCTAACATGTGACACCCACGCACTGTAATCTTGCCACTGTTTCTTGCATTTAATTTTATGTGTATAAACTTGTGCGAACTTTTGTAACTTTGTGAAAATGGAACCAAAAGGTATTTTGTGCTATAATTTTAAATCTAAAAAACCTGATTGTCGTATAAGAATAACCTCTAGTCCGGAATGTAGTTATTTCAAGAGGAATTTAATGAACTAGAGACGAATGACTTCATCGTAATGCCTTTTGAAACATTACACAATTAAATGAGGCCTTAATATTATAGTGACTTGCTGTACGAGTAGTCGATAACTGTAACATAAGCAAGACGAGACAACAACTAAACGTAGATGTTAAGGCAGATGTAGTTGTGACGGAAGTTCGTCTGTGCTGACTTTCTTAAACCGAATAATTGCCATAAACATGTCGGTAGATGCCATATTTTTAATTAAAACTTAATTTTAGTTTTATAAAAATCTGTAGTTGTAAGCTCGTTTTTCTGTATAAAAATCGTACCTCACTATGTTCTGTTCTTGCTTATTCTTTATAAGTATTTACTATGGTTTCAATTGCTGCTTATTATTATGCGATTTTGTTTGTATCTTTTTTCACGTGTAATGTTTATTTTTAAGTGCATAGTTAAGTACGTTGACTAAGTCACAAGATAATTTATTACCAATGACGTGTTTTTAAATTCTTTTATATACCTATTTTTTATAGTTGAGTGTAAAAAGTTGAGATATATTATATTGAGAAAATAGATATGGATTTAATGTGTTTAAATATAGTTTGTAGATTTTGCCAGAAGTGTGATTTACTAACATTTTGTTATTTGCCACTTATATTGTCATAATTAATTTGTTCACTGTACCATCTGCAGTTTTATAGAGAAAACATTGCAGTGTTTGTCACCTTATTTGTGTGGAAATATTGAACTCGAAGTACTTTTAACAAAATATCCCATTTATTTGTCGTATACCTTCTTATCAAATTACTACAAAAAGTTCTTTTTTGAAAACAATATAACATAGGTGAATACTTTTTTAAATTACTAGATATTTATAACAGTTGATGTGGTTTTTCTGCAAACAAGAAGTAAAAATAAGCCAATGTAATAAGAACACAAGACGTGATAAAGACTGCAATTATTGTTCTAAACACAATACAATACAATACCTTGGAAATCGTAAGTGCCTTCGAGCTATAGATTGAATCAAATTGTAATATTTTAATTAGTATATTGTACCATTGATGTGTCTTATACAGCTTTAACATTGTACAAAGTATTATTATATTATGTAAAAAAATGCCTTCGTACAAAGAGTTCATTAATAATATTCGCGTACACACAGCGTTGGTGCTCTACGTCGTGTGGCTAAACGTGGATCCACGCGAGACACATGTAATGTATTTTCTATTGTGTCTCATATCGGTGCATTCAATTCAAGCGGTTAAACGTCGCATGGCCACTGCGTAGTAGATACGTAGCGCGTGTGTAGCCGCTGCGCATTAGATACGTAGCGCTGTGTAGCGGCTGCGTAGTCAATACGTAGCGCCACGTAGCTGCTGCGTCGTAGATACGTAGCACTACGTAGTGCTGCTTACGCAGCGGCTACGTAGTGCTACGTATGCGGCGACGGCGTACGCGGCGACTACATAATGATTACTCATTATGTAGTCGCCGCGTAACCCAGCGTAGTCGATACGTAGATATCGTGTAGTATTACGTAGCTGGTCCGTAGGCGAAGCGTAGCCCTGCGTAGTGGATTCGTACGAAAAAATGCACCGCGTAGTCAATGTCGTATGGCTACGTAAACTCTGTGTGTACGCAGTAATCCTAAATAAATAAGCTGTAGTTTTTCTAATACCAATAAAATCATCATTGTTTGTTTATCATACACTTAATACGAAGGCACACTGGTTACTATCTGAACTATCTTGTATGAGGATTAATCTTTAAAACAATCTGAAATAATATATAACATTGTAATTATTTTCAATGTTGTCACCCTACTTGAAGCCATACCATTTTAAGCAACACACCTCTATTTCGCACTGATATCAATGGTACAAGAAAGTTCGTAGTCATACGTATAACATGCTTATCATTCACTTTATATGTGTACCAAGCATTGTGCCACCAGACAGTAACGTATGTTACAATAAACTTCACATTTCGGAACAAATTAAATTTAGTCACATTTACTGTTGTTTCTTATTACTCTTCCTGACCATTCCTTTACAGATGTCTATGACTCCACTTAACACTATTAATTACGGTTTACAAAGAGATATTGCGAGTTGCAGTTGAAATATATAGAAATTTTAATTTTCAATATTTATATAATAAACTGTCAATTTTTTACAAAAGCTCCATACAAGTTATGTAAAAAATCCTATCATGGTCTTGAACTTCTTTTCAATTTCAGGGCAAGATAATTTACATCACAAGATAATTTATTGTACTAGGATGATTGAAAAGTTTTGAGCACATCGTGAACATAATATTAAGACGACCCAGACATGGTGGCATTTATGGTCAAATAACAAAACGCAGTAGATAAATATACTACGTCTCGAGACGCTGATACTCGTACAATGCCGGGTATATTATGTTCGCCATACATTAAGCGGCACAGCATCGGCCGTACGTAGTAGTGGCGAACTGTACATGAGCCCTCTAGCTACCGACCACTTCAGTCTATTTCACTTCACAATGCGTGCAATTTATAATTATACTCCATTTTGGAGACCCGGTTGCCAAAGAAGAAAAAAAATATAATTATGCTCGAAACTTTTCATCTATGTAAGTACTAATCTAAGAGAAGACCACTGATACTTACATCACTTTAGTCTTTATATCCTTCAACATCTAATACAATGGAAGCATTTGTGCATGCATAATGGCAGTCTTTCAAAGTGTCCACAAGATATCTCAACTGGTCAGACGCCTTAAAAAATTGACAAACAGTTTAACCAAGAACATGAGTAATAAGTTTAACCAGGATTATGAAGAATTTTTTTTTAAGGGGGAAAATCATCGAATGGCTGCTCCCGCCTGGGTGAGGCGGGAGGTAGTGTCAGACTCTTACTGAATAAAAACCACCCCGTTCCTTCTCCTGCACGTCGAGCCGGAGCCCCGGTTATCCGTTAAGTTCTCCGTGACTCCGAATCGGCATCGGCCCTGTAGGGCCCCATCTGTGGTGGTCTGATGGCTCATTGAGGCGCGCGCGGTACGCGACGCGCCATACGCTCGAGAGGATTATGAAGAATAGGCAGTCACTCTGCGTAAAATAATAGCATACCTTACATTTAAAGCGGTTTCAAGAGTTCAGCATGGATCCTAGAATAATTATCCTCACTATACAATTGTACGTTACGGTAAAATGGGGTAAATAGGGATCAAGAGGTGAATAGAGAAATCTCAATCTTGTTTTTATTAATTTTTAATTATCGTGTTAGTATTCTATTGTCACTGTTTTGTTATATGTTGTCGTTTCTTTGTGTTTTTTTTCTATATCTGTATAAATAAGTGTATTTATTTGTTCTTTTCTCTTTTAATTTTGTATTTTTTTGTATGTGTGTGCGTGCCTACTGTCGAATAAATGATTTTTCTTTCTTCTTTCTTTCAGACAGAAGAGGGGAGAATCAATACTATGAAGAATTTCCCAATATCTATTCACCCCTCTTCTGTCTCTATTCACCTCTCGATCCCTAGCCACCCCATTTTACTATGTCATTAGGCTCACCTTCTATTGGATATTGAATTTAATTCGTAACATTATAGGGCGATGGTAAGAACATTTCAAATGTAATTAGTTCGTCAGTTTTCTCATTATCTAATAAAAAAATATTAGACACGTAGTTGTTTATTTTCTCGTTTTTAAAGTTACATTATTTAGACAAAATGGTCTTAAGTTTAGGAGTGAGATGTTGTTACGTCGTATAACGACATTTCAAATTAATATATCGTTGAAAGTATTTACTTTTGTGAGGAAACAACATACGTGTTTATTGTTGTAAATTAATCTATAGACATTAAAGTAAAATTAGGAAACTACCCTATTGACTGAAAAGGTGTGTATTACATTTAATTTATTTATTAATTATACACTACTACCCACCCCTTCGCTAATTTTAATGTGATTTCTTACTAAAAGATAAAAGGTGATAAGTATTGAAACCAGATCGATCAGGCATTCATTTTATAGGTATAACATCGTGCACAATATTTTACACTGAAGCAGGGTACACCTTATTTGGTGGTATCAAATTATAAATAGCGGTAACTCAATCACTCATTCTTTTTACCATTTTGGTGTGAAAGCTGGTCCAGCATTCAAAGTATGCCGACACAAACGATGATTTAAAAAATAATGTGACTCAAACATTTTCTTACGAAAAATATATTATTCATAGAGTCGACATTTGTTCTACTATTTAGTGTTCTTATTAATTACTGTCGAGTTGTCGAATTCGTCTCAAGCTTAAGTAGAGCATTAATGAGGTTTTGGTATATCGATAATTCTCAGTAATAGGCGGTCTGGAATTGTACCCAAGTATGTGATAATAGACTCACTCTCTGTTACACAGGAATCACAATATAACTGGTGGAGAGTAGGCGTTTCATTCCGTAAGTAAAGGTGGGATTACAAATATAGGTTCAATCATACAATCTCTTAATCACTTAGTTAACATTAATAAAACATAGGTACTTACTTAAAATACATATTGAATGTGTCTTTTCAATGAGTATTATGAAGCCTGGTTTGAGGTTATTAACCCTATCCCTTTACATCAACTACCTACCTAAATAGGCGTACCTACTTGAAAAAAAATATCTAAAGTGTACGAAATAATTCAAAATTATGTTAGCTCGTTAGTATATTATTTATTTTCTTAATATTTTCTCTATATTAACAATATTAATCGATTAATTAAGTCAAAATCTTTAAAGTCACCGCCACACACTTATTTTTTTTTATTACAGCAACTTGCTTGACACTGTTCTAGTCCAATCACAAAACTCCCATGTTATCTCTAATTAGTAGTTATATTCGTTGATACCAATTAATTATCAGTAGACATTACTTTGTATTTTTTTTTTAAATAACCAACTAGAATCTTTTTATAAATGCAAACCTTACGACAATTCTTACAAAAAAAAATTATGTAAATATATTGTGATTATTTTTTTTTAATATTATAGGTAGGCGTCTATTATTTTGCCATGCCTATTAAGGACCAATCGTTTCATCATAAAAACAATAGTAAACTAACTTATTGCGAAAATATTTATACTTAGACATACGTAGTGTAGTGGGAACCAAAGCAGAAAACGTTACCACAATAATATATATAGTACAGACAAAATAAAGATTGATTTTCACAGAAACAGTAAAAAATCTTTTGTTGACTGTGTGGCAAACTATTTCGGCAATTCCAGGACTTGCAACTACGATGTTCCATTGTTCCCTTTGAAGAAACCGTTGACGGACTGAAGTAAGTACCTACCTTTTTTTTTCTTTTTTTTTTACCTAGATTACAAATTGGTCGCGAAGCACATCAGTAACCTGCTTACAGACAGGGGCCTAGTAAACTCTTACCTAAATCGTTCTAATTCTTCCACTTACACCGTCATTTTAACACGTAGGTTGTCAGCGGGTGCTAAATGGAAAACGGTAACATCCCTAACACTTTGCACAAACAGACAACCGTTATCACCCACTTTATTTATGCATGATTGACATGTCTACTCACATTTCGTGACCATTTCTATTGGGATTAGGACTAGTGAAACGGATACTCAAATTTTAGTGGTTACAAATGACAGAGGAGTAGGTCTCGTCAGTTAGTTGTTGTGTCACGTTGAAAAGAGAAGCATTTAGTTATACAATGTTATCAAGAAAGTGGTGGTTAGTTTTGTCGGCGTTAGTGGTAGCTGCTGCGGCCACGAACATCCATAGGTTCGACCAGGACGATATCGATGGAGAAGACGACGAGGGCTTCGATGAGTACGACGAATTTGAGAGTAATAACGTCACTAGTGTTGGCGGAAGAAAGGGAAAAATACGTAAGTTTGTTGCCATGGTCTTCTACCTGTAATATCGATATATCTAGGCCTGAACAATTTTTAAGCGAGACCTAAGTGTTTTAATTTTTTGTCCCAACCTCCCGAGCTAAGCGAATTTATATTTCGATAGAGCCCTAGCCAACATTTCATTATCTCTCTTTCTCTATCCACTCAAGATTTCTGTAATGGCAGTTGCAAATTAAGAAATAGCTACGCGAAGCGATTCCCTCATATATTTTCAACAATTTGGATGTATACAAAAGATGTTTTGTACGCCGTCCGTGACCTGGCTTTTGCTCAACTAATAAGCTAAGTTTTATTCCTAATCGTAGGCACATGTAGTAGACCACGCCAAAACTAAATAGGTACTCTTGGATTTCTTGGACTGCCTCGTTGGCCGAGTGGTCGCAAGTGCGACTGCCGGGCAAGGGATTTCAGGTTAAATTCCCGGGCCGGGCAAAGTATTACTGGTTTTTTTAATTCTTAGTACTAGCACAGAATCTGGAGTTGAGCCCGGTATATGGCAATAGGCTAACCCCCTATAACATGGGACTCATGACATAAATAGTGAAAAGTGGGTGCTACATTGTACAGTGGCATTAAGTGCCATAATGTGTATCTCTGCCTACCCCCTGGAAGATAAAAGGCGTGATGTTATGTTGCTTGTATTTCTTATTAGTTTTAAAATTGTTAGTTTGCACTAAGGCTGGAAACCATAGATAGTAAATAATAATTGACCAAATGTTATTTAAAAAAACTTAATTCTTACTAAGAATTAGGAATTTCTTAGAGAGAATGGAATCGCCGTTTCTGAAAGTACAATATACATCACTCTTGTATATTAATATTATGATCATAGACATAAAAGTTGAACCTGCACCTATATTACTTATGAAAATTACTTCTAAGTATTGTTTTCATTTTAAATCTTTACAGTGTTTCCTTTCGTGAGTATCGTGCGGTTCGCCAACACGGAGTGCTCGACTGCCAACTCTATGAACGGCACGTGCCTCGCGCGGCGGGAATGTAACAACCTTAACGGTACCATCACGGGCACCTGCGCCACGAGGAGAGGACGGTGCTGCGTCGGTAAGTAAAAGTGAAACAACCTCTCTCATACCCATAGCCTGTAGGTACTATCTAATATACCTCTAGATCCCACATACGTTTACAGAGTCATCTTTATACGTATTCTAAGTCTATTGAATTTTAACAGACTCCATCTAAAGGAAATGTCAAATTAAATAGAAATATTGAAGAAAATGATGCGTAAAACCCTGTACGTCTGTGGTCTCGGAAGATTAATAATCTTACCTAATTTGTATTCTAGTGTCCCGTACTTGCGGAACTACGACAAATGTGAACAACACTTATTTCACGAGCCCTGGCTACCCGGCCGCGTACGCCGGTGGTCCAGCCTGTTCCATGATCGTAAACCGTTGCAACGCCAACATCTGTCAGGTAACCCACCAATCTTAATCTTACATCATCAGGTTCATCAACTTTTATATAAATCCATTTATATAATAGGTAAGCATTATGGTATGGCTACAAATAATTTATTTACAAACAAATGTCTGCTCCGACTACGACCGCTTTCCCATATTTCCAATGACTATCCTTTTTGTTACAATTTATGCATTATACAATGTGTTTATCAGATAATACATTGGTACCAAGTAAACACTACACAACTCCTTACCAGAATCGTAGCTGTGTACAACAGATGTCTATGTACACGTCAATGCACGTCGGAACCTAGTCGATGTACTTAATGTCTACTTTATGTAAATACTAGAATTGACCAACACTAGTAATGTTGATCTTATTGTTGCGGTGCTCTATCAAAGTCACTCATACGAGTTCCTGCAACTGACGAATTTCTACGCATACGTTGCATGTTCTATCCTACTCTTTGTACATAGATAAATAAGCTTGAGGTTCTAACTAATTGGACGGTGAACATTTATATTCAGCTCCGCATAGATTTCCTGGATCTGGTGCTAGCACAGCCTGATGGTGACGGGAACTGCGTGACGGACTCCATATCAGTGACAGGAGGAAACACCATTGTGCCACTGCTATGTGGTGATCTCACCGGCCAGACTATCTTCGTGGACTTCAACGGGAACACGGCTATCACCATCGTGGTCACTGCCACCCTCGCGACCACCTTCGCTAGGAGATGGAACATTAGGCTGGTTCAGCTTGGATGCGACTGTCCTGGAATAGGTAACTAATTCAATATTTTCTACAGGTTCCGAGTAACCGTAGCCCTTAATCATTTTTGTCTTGACAACGTTTCCCACAAGTCGTAAATAAATGAAAAAAAGAAAAAAAAAAGCATTTATTCGACAGTAGGCACGCACACAGATACAAAGATAATACAAAATTAAAAAAGAAAAGAAGAAATAAATCCACATATATATATAGTTAAGAAAAATGATAAATCAAGAAAGAGGTATGATCGTCACTTAGTCATTGTGCCGTCAGACAAAGTTAATTTAACAAGATTAAAAGGAATAAATGTTGTTTTATATCAAAACAATATAAAACAACATTACCTAAGTACATAGGATTATACATTATATTTACGTACAAGCAATCACGACATAACCTTTAATTGCAGCGCCAAACGGTTGTCTCCAATACTACACTGGAATAACGGGAACTATTAACAGCTTTAACTACGGGACCGCGGCGAACACAGTGCTCAGCGCCTCCCTGGTGACAGGCACGCGGCAAATTGTCAACTTGAACTATGGCATATGTATCAGAATGGAGGCCGGCTACTGTGCCATACAATATTCACAGGTCAGTTGATATTAGCTACATCGTTGTTAGTAGATATACGACAATACTACTATTTACGTTACCTGTCCCATATAAAGAGCTTGCCTAGATCTTGACGGGAATCAACCGCCACAAGTTTCATAACTTCTAGTCACTCAGGCACTTCATGAACCACGCAGACACTCTACAAAGAGTCTTTGAAGTCGACGTCCTACCGCCAACCAGTGATCGGCAATTTTTTCCAAGAAAATTTAATTACACTTTCTACAACATGCCTAAATATGAAATAGAATAATGCAACGAACAACCAAACCAAATAAAGGACTAAACATGTATGTTTCTAAGTGAAGGTTTTTCATACAGGTTGCAGGAGACGCATTCTCATTTACATTGACGGGAGACGTGGAAGGCGCTGACAACACGGTACTGGGCACCCAGCTGGGTGCAGTGAACGGCGCCAACTGTCTCACCGACTTCGTGGTTATACCCAACCCCACAGTAGTCGCCACCGCCTTAGCTGCAGGCACAGACCGCTTTTGCGGACTTGGTTTCGTTCCAGTGCAGAGTAAGCATTTCTCTTATATTATTTGATTAATATAATTCCTTAGAGCCCACAGCAAGGTCCTTAATGTTAATTTCTATGTAGAACCTATACAGTCCTAGAATTGAAAAAGTTATACTCGTGGGCCTCTCTGGTATAGCTTCCGAAGCCCACATTTTTTATTATCGCTACTTCTATACCTACAAACTTCATAATACTACTGAAATGTAAGTCATCATTTAAATCATAAAATTTGGCAGGAACTTATCACCAGTACAGAGTACCATAATTATTATAAAAAAATAGATTAATTAAATAATAATATCTATAATATTTCTTCAACAGGTGGAGCTAAACCATTTGTACTGTACGTGGTAACTAACGCTAACGAGGGCGCGACGGCTGCCACTCCGCCCGATATCGCCAACAGAGGATTCTCTCTAACTTACACTCAGATAGCCTGCTGATCTATCTACTTCATGTACCTATTGTATCTCTACCTATAATATAATCATAGAATGTTTTAAAAAGCAGAGGTGCACCCCTAATTTACGATGAGATAAAAATACAGTAGCACCAGAAAATTTATATAAACAATAATCACCGAAATGCATGTTCTCTCGAATGGCTGTAGTGTTATTAGGACAAAGTTCTAAGACAAATAACTGACGCATTTATCGAGAACACTGGGAAGAAACACCCATGCGAAGCGGGGGTGGCATTATAATAGAAAACAAAATTAAAAGCAGATCATTTTACCAAATACTTAAAAGCTTGTATACGCTACTCGGGTTTCTAACAAAGTAACTTGCCGTACACTATTGTTTACAAGACAAAGGCAGACTGCTTACAAGGGTAGAATCTTAAAAGCATACAGAAGGCTATTGTGTAATGACGTAGGTAGCCATTCGAAGTACCATGCAATACTATGACAAGATATGTATGGTGTACCTATAAATGGTTAATGCGTCAATGTCTAGCAACTGCAACTGGTTCGGGTTTCTTATAAAAGGGTTATTTGAAAGGATGACTTTAACTCAAGTCAAACGTTATCGTTTTCTTTTCGAATTATCATAAAAGTATAGATATTAATGTACTTATGTTTAAGTTTAGCAATAAAATATAACATTATCTACGTAAGAAAAGGGTGATTTAATTTCTCATACTATTTCCAACTCCAAAATGGGCCTACACTGTATTGTCTTTTTATTTTTGTGCCCGCGATTTCGTCCGCGTGGAATTGTGATTCACAGCTCCTCTCCTGCAGGTGATAGTGTGTAGCCTATATGTTGACCCGTCCTGTTTGTAATATTCATGCAAAATTTAAAGTTAATTAATGAAGTACTTTTTGAGATTAGCCAGGACAGACAAACAGACCAACAGATAAAATTTTAAAAATTATATTCTTGGCTATGATATCGAATAAAGACATACTCCGCGCCGCTTCTTAAAAAAAATTAATGTACATTTTGACTTTCCTACGATTTTATAATATGTACAGGCACATACAGACACATACATATACATTAATTTATTCAGAAATTAACATATTGCAACTAATATCCGATCAATCCAAAACGATCGATCTCTATATTGAACAGAAATTTAATAGATTAATAATGTCAAAAATCCAAAGACATCAGTAGCGTGCATAGTGCAGATAGCTAATGCGCGGCAGGTTATTATACCATCCATGGTGGTATTCGAGGTCACGAAAACTTGTACAGAGCACCTAGTGCCTCTATTGTGGCGTGTGGACGGGCATTTCCCTCATTTGTACCGCTACATAATCGTTATGAAGGAAGATTACAAAAAAAGTTGAAGTAAAAAATAAAAACCATAAGAAATAAATAGTCATGTATTTAATAACAACTTTAACTAAACAATAAAATCACATGTTAACATATTTAACTACTCTCTTCTAATAGGTATGTAGAAACAGGCACAAAAATAGATCGCCTGCACCCGCGATATGGTGCTGACTGATAATTAGGCTCCTCCGTGTTTATGACTTTTCCATAAAACATAACAACATATCATAATAATATATACATTTACTGTCTCGCTAGTATTTATTTACAGTGTAAATAGCGTTAAGTAACGTTTAATTAAATAAGAAATACTCTCAGAAGGCACAGTATCTTATTAAACAATTATGAATCCAAAATTTATATTAAACAGGATATGTTGTTATATTCAAAATAAGAAAGAAATGGAGGACTTGCAATATATAAAAATGTTGCCATTAAAATGAAGGAATATTCGTGCTCAATTTCTTTTAGTAAAAAGACCGCATTACAACATTGGATTAGTTTCATATTTAATCTCATAAAGCGTATGGATAGTAGAGAAGACAGACACCTTGTAAATTGGCATAATAAAGGTAACATTTTGACCCACAGTTAACATTTATCACCTTTTTAGGCCAATTTTAAAGACTACTATGATTTATTAAGATTTCACACGCTTTACGAGTCTGGAAGTTAGATTTGTTCACTTGCTCAATCGTCATTCAAACAAAATTAAGATCGCAGCCAAGAGTAAAATGCAATTTTAAATGGCATTGTTCTTAGGTGCCCGCTCTCTCTTTTTAAAAACTGTAAAACTAACCGCAAATGTTTATTAAACTGTCAAACACCAAGCGGTCACCGGTGACCGCGACCTATTGTTCTTTAATACGCTAGTTGACAGGTAGTCAAATTCAATATATTTATTGAAATGTCAAAAACGATACTTTTCTATGAATTTTGTATTGGATCGCAACTTATGACGTCATCATATTTCTGCGTCAAATAGCATACTTATTTCCTTAAAATTAGCGAGAAAAAATCCAAAAGTAAGTAAATTGTCAAATCAATGGATGAGAGTATGATTATTTTTTAATTATTTATTGCATTGAAAAGTTGACACAATTTGTTTTAAACCTAGGAAACTAGCCAATTGTGTCTATAAAACCGGTACTCGACGAGTTAAATGACGTACACCTTATCGTGTATTATAACTATTGATGTCAAAAAATAATGCAATACGTATGTATGATGTCGTCTAGTCGTCAGGTACTAATACATAGCTATAGTAACAAGTTATTTAAACCGAAAATTTATTCTCTTATACCTTCTCACACATGACAAAAAGCGTTTAGGAACGTGCGTGGGGTTTACCCAAATCTCACCAGACTTCATGTGAGTGAGGCACTGTTTTAAAAAAAAACATTTTTGGCAATAATTTATTATTAACTAACTGTTGTCCGCGACTTCGTCCGCGTAAAATATGATTCCAATTTTATCTCATGGCACGATCATCATTGTTCCCGATTGAAGCTGGGGTGCCTCAGGGCTCGGTACTAGGTCCTGTATTATACAGCCTGTTTACGTCAGACCTACCAACTACAGATGATGTCACTGTTGCTACCTATGCTGATGACTTAGCCTTTCTAGCAGTGGACAGTCATGCCACAATAGCGAGTGAAAAACTTCAAAGACTTCTCAATTACACCTCAGATTGGCTTAGCAAATGGCGTATCGAAGCTAGTGCCCAGAAATCGACCCACATAACCTTCACACTGCGAAAAGGAGACTGTCCCCCGGTGTGCCTGAAGAATAACATATTACCTCAAACGGAATGTGTCAAATACCTGGGTTTCCACCTTGATAGACGACTAACATGGAAAAGTCACATAAAGGCAAAAAGAGACCAAATCAACCACAAATTTAGAAGTTTAAATTGGATGATGGGTAGAAATTCTGCGCTCAGCATTGACAACAAAATTTTAATCTATAACTCCGTACTGAAACCTATATGGACATATGGTATTCAGTTGTGGGGAGTAGCCAGCAAATCTAATACAACATGCATACAAAGGGTCCAAAACATTATCTTGAAAAACATTGCAAATGCTCCGTGGTTTACGAAAAATGACGAAATTCACGAGTACCGCGACCGCTATAAAAAACAACATCGTGAGCGTCTCGCCCACCACCCCAATCCACTGGTCATGGAATTACTTGACAATGCTAAAATCGTAAAAAGGTTAAAGCGACACCTTATAATATAAGTGACAACAGGCATTGGCCTGTTGTACTCAAAAGCCACATCCCACTTCACCACAACTGATTATAGTCTGGCGACTGATTGCAGATATACAAATTAAAAAAAAAAACAAAAAAAAAATTATCTCATAGAAGCATTTAATCGGGATAAAAAGTATTCTATCACCTAAGTCAGCCCATACCCTGCTCGTATACCAAATTTCATCACGGGAATTAATATTAATTTAGAATGTCTTGAGAAAATTTATTTTTACGTTGTGTAGCGCTGATCCAATATTTGTCAACCGATTTCAAAAAAAATGGATGAGGTTCTCAATTAGACTGTATTATTATTATGACGTTTATTTTTGGGTGGTATGTTGTGAACAGGTTTGTTTTTATATAGTCCAAGTTATATCATATTCTTCAGACTCAGTCACTATCACCACATACCCAGCAGTCTAAAACTTGTTGTCAAATATACAGCAAATATTCAGTAGACTTCGTATACGTTACACAGATCACCGACATAACGTTACATCCGAAAACTTGAAGATCAAAACGTAGTTTGAGACCTTATATTATAAATATGTCTAGATAGAGCGCCGCTATAAAATGCATCAAAAATGGCGTTGCAAAATTCATTGCGTGCGGCTTCTGGTTTACACGGTGCAAAAATGATACCAGTTACGACAAAAATTCTCTCATCAAATTTCTATTTCCCATAAATATTTGAAGACATTTATAGTAGACCAGTAAAATAACTGTATCCTCCATCTCTTTGAATTTGATTTGAAAGTTGTTTTTGGAGGACATTACGTTGATATAATGTATATATTTTGTCATATTTTATAAGTTATTTATTTTCCGTATGAAAACAAATTATTATTATTTCTATAAAATCAATTTATAAGATATGTTGCACCCTATCCATTAAAAATGTAATTAAATCGGTTCAAACATTTCAAAATAGCTATCGAAAATCAAAACGAACGCGTTAAAGCTCCGCGTCTCTTTATATCTTTAACTTATTTTATAGATTCGGTAAAACGTTAGTCGATATAGTTTTTATCACTAAAACCTTACGGGAACGGGCAATGTACTGGTAAAATCTTTCATCTACCATCTTTCATCTTACAATAAATCTAACTTAGGCACTGAATCGATACTGATGACATTTCTTACAGCCGTAGAATATCCCTTCAGTCATTCTTCTACGCGGACGAAGATGCGGACAACAACTAGTCTACAAAAAAAAATCGATTCTCGTGAATCAATTAGTTTTTTTTGTCGACCTACAGACAACATTTTTATGACAAGCGACTCCTATCTAAGCCAGTGGTTCCCAACCGACAGTCCGTGGACCACCACTGAAAGTATGTAAAGGAAAGGAGCCACTAATAACTCTGGAGTAAATCTTAGTGTAGGACCACGTGAAAAAGTAATAGCAATAGTGGTCCCTAACCTAACAAGAACGATGTCAGTGGTTTTTGACCGAGAAAATATTGGGAACCACTGATTTAGACAATTAAAATCTCGATAACTCGAACCGGGTTAAAATTATTGTAATAAAATAAGATAAAACTAAAGCCATTAATTCCAAAATGTTTTAACTGTAACACAAACGTAAACTTTAATTTGGCTGAGATGTTATTATACTGTATACAATATAATATGTATTACGAAAATGTTTAATTTCCGTTAGCCTTTTACTGTTATACATTTTATACAATACGTATGTGGTGACCACAGCCTCTTTTCAGTTCACGAGACAAAAACAATATCTCCATTTACTATTTACATTCAAAATACACGTGCTAATTATACTTCGTTTTCTCACAAAATATGGAACCAATAAAAGCTCATAAAATTGTCTAGCCGAGCTATCGAGATTGATTTAATGAAGGAAATGTACAACTACATTATTCGAATAAATACAAATTAACAGTTTCATTACGAAACTCTAATTTACATAAATCTCAACAACGTAATAACATCACTAGGAACCAATTTTATTGCAACTGTTATAATAATAGTATTATATCTGTAAAACGTTACATAATCGATAGACAAGAGGCAACAAAATTATACTAGATCAGGTAGTAAAATGAGTTCGGACGCAATTATACAATGTCTCCCATAAATAAAATAACATTCAAATATGAACAAAGAAAAATATCTACAAATATTATTATTTCTTCGCATTTTGATTTAATTGCATTATTTATTATGGATTGGACAAAAATTGCGTGACGTTAAAGGTGTCTCGTACTTCTAAAATTGGCGGCAAAATCTGAACAACTTTGTGGAAGTTGCTTTTGTGTGTCAACGTGTTTCTTTGTAATATTACATACGCCAGCACTTTTGCAAACTATGTGTTAGAAATCTTTATTTGTTAACGTCTGTAATAGAATCTGCATCAAGTAACGACACAATAGGTAAATAATGTATCTAATCTATAGTTCATTCCAATAAACTAGACATATTATAGCCATAACTGTTTATACACTTTAAGATTTCACCAGCTTTATATGTAAGTATACGAGTATCTTAGGCAATTCTGTTTGAACTATACAAATTATCCTCTAGTCAAATTTAAAAACTCACGACATTTGCCTAAAACTTGGCCCTACCTATTATCACGAATGAAACACTACGTTGGTACGTTATTAAATAATCTAAAATTAATAATATTAAGTAGTCCTACTATTGCTGAGGAAAGTCACAAACTATAAAAGTTCTGAAGAATGATGATTGATGTCAAAGTCGCTTATCAACACCAAAACACGAATATTTCATCAAACACTCAAGCGTGCATAGCAATAACTTTACCCATTCTTCTTTCTATGGCGTTCTTCGTTTCGTAGTACCATTTCTCTACTGCGGTGTTGTTCTTCAAGTCCTGGAAAGCCGTGCATCCTTCAATGCTGCTGAGAACTCCGAAAACTGTCACGTCGGCTAGGTTTGGCTTGTCGCCCCCCAGGAAGGGAGTGCCTTTCGATTGTACTGCACCCATCCATTCATTGACCGCGTCATAGAGCGACTCACGTGGATCGTCCTTAATTTTGTGCCTGAAATCCCAAAGCCAGTTTGTTTAACACACTAAGTACCTAAATCAAGAAAGGTAATTAATGTTTTTATTTTTAAGGGGGAAAATCGTCGAATAAATTCTGTGGAAGTGTCAGACTCTTACTGACTAAAAACCATCAGTATGTAAATTAGTATTTTAAGTTGACACACAACTAATTAGTATATGAAGATGACACTAAAAATATTTAATACTGCCATTGAATAACTAATACTACCATTAATATACCAGCAACAGTCAAATGTATCAGATATTCGGGTAAGAATCAAAGCAATACCTGGTCTTCAGCCTCTTAGAAATCATATACATGGCGGCGGCACCAATGTATACCATGAGAGTGCACTCCCACGCGGGGAAGAACTGCCTCCAGCCGCCAGCCTGCTCAAACCATTGGAAAGTCTCAAGAGCTTCGCCAGCCGTCCTGTATACGTTGGGGGATAGTGTGTTGACAAGGACTCGGTCGGCCCACTGACGCCACTGGCGCTCCTCACTGTAATATACGTATAAGTTACTAGTAATGTTAGATTATTTAGGTACAACGGTACTTAAACTATAAATAATTTTACAAGACACTTAGATATGTATTTAAAATTAATCATAACCATAACCATTATCATAGTAAACTACAAATACCTACTAAATAGTAATTTAAATATAGAAGATCCAACAGTCAAACTATTTACATATAGTTTTGTTGGACATGGCGTTAGATTATAAGGCATACCATGTACCTTTATTATTAATAAATAAATAATAATTTCACGACAATTCATTTCACGACAGTTCATTGCAATCAAATCACTCATGCAAACTAAACGTGTATCATCAATCATCATCAATCGGTTGAAGACATCTACTTCAAAATTCAGCTGCAAGATTCCATTTCACACACACACGTATGAATGTATGAATTACATTGCAAGTTTAATAAAAGCTTGTAAATAATTAATAGCAAGTTCACGTCTCATGTTGTAGAACTATTGACACGAGACGCCGGTAATTAATTTCCGATACGTGTGCAGCGCAAAACCAGTCAACACGCTCGACATTAGATAGCAGGTGACTATACTTATGGTAACTTCACGAGAAAGAAGGCTTTATGAGGTTCAAAATATGACTACAGAGCCACCACACAAACTCGTGTTTTATTTTTGTGCGCTATCGGTGTATGATCGAGGTCACGGTTAATTAACTTAAGTGCTCATTTAATACGTTAAACATGTTACATTTTTTAACCTTTTTTTTAATTAATAAATAATTTCAGCTATTTTACAACTTATTGACCATTGTTTCATTAATAGTAAAGACACGTAAAGTGTACGTCAACACTATTTGTTAATACAAACATAATTTTTAATAATATTTTTTAATTACTACTTAGTAGCAGTACTTTTGAGCACTCAAAAGTACTTAAGCATCGAACTTACTTCCGTAGGTACCTACAACGAGTTTGTTTTTTCGTGTTTGTTCGGTTCACAATAAACACAAAAACTATAGAACGAATCTTGATGAAAAACCACATATTTCTGATATGCGGTTTTCCAATGTGAGCTTTTCTGTAAAAACTAAGCAAAAATTTTTTTATGAAGCCTCCACATTTCCTTTTTTATGGTATGACCTTTAAGAGCGATACCGTCAATTTTACATACACCGGACGCAATTTCAGACTCCATGCTATAACTGAGAGTTTTGGAAAAGAAGAAAACAGTCCAAGTACAATTTGACACGACTCGGAAATCGATCCCGAATCGCCATGCTCGACGTCGTCCGGTTGTCCAGCTTGCGGCCACTCACTGCATGCAATAAGCCATGCTTCGAAATTATGAAAGTACAATAACAATTACATCGAAAATACATGCAACACTTACATTTCAAGGGCTTTCTCCTTTTCATCCGGCACATTTGCTTGATGCATGATGAAGTATTTGTTCGCAATGTCGGTCGACTCATTTCCAGTTTCATTCACAAACTTGGTGACTGGGTAGAACTTGATGATTTCTCGCAATTCAGAAGATTTATCTTTTAAACACGTTTCGAGGACGGAAATAATCGCTGTACTGTCCAATAGTTGCTGAAATTATATGAATATGTACATCTAAACGCATATTCTTTACCTCTAGACTAGTTTTATTTTTCTGATAAATTTCAAAACTAATAAAGTTACACAAAAGAAGGAGCAAATATTTTTTATAAATTAAGAGACACAATAATTAAGATTTACAGTTTTCTTCTTGGAAAAGGCCAATGAAATTAGTGTTGCTAATGAATTAAGAGAAAAATGCTTTTAATAGGTATTTATAATATTTTACCGTACCCAGTACCAGAGGCACTAGTGTTCGTAGAGAAAATCAGTAAATCAAAATCATAAATACCTGGTAACCTCCATCCACTTTTGCGAGCAGTATGGGTACTTTCTTGTATCCTGACCACTTTATAGCCTGGCGGAGCACCGCGTCTACTTCCACTATCTCATAACTGATGCCACGAGCGTCCAAGTATGCTCGAACCTTACAGCAGAACGGACAAGTCCGGTATTGAAACAGCGTGAGCTGCAGGTTACTCGTATCCGCATCATTGATTATCTAAAATTATAAATAGTTATGTTTACAATTTCAGCATACAAATCATTATAAACATTGCATAATAATGTATCTTCATAACCTACAAACTGTCATCAATCCTACCAAACTGTCATTCGAATGTTGTATCCATCAATTACGCAGAATTGCCGTAACAGAAAATCTATGTACGATTGAAGCGCCACGTCACGCTAGTCAACACAATGTAGAACTTCTCAGACAACTTTCATTAAGTTCCACATTCCACCAAAAGTTTATACACAGATTGATACCAATTTCATCAATGAAATATTAATAGGAAAATAATGTTGACAAATGAAAGCTATCAATAAAGCATGAAGCATTTTGCGTGTGTAGAATTTAGTAGCGATTATTATCAACCAATTTTTTTTTTTAAACGACAGGTCATTTCGCTCAGGTCTTCTATCACGTAATAACGTAACATTAAACACATCACACGCATTTTTAAAACTATTTTGTAAAAACTAGCTTTCTCCATAATTTAATATTTTAGGCTCGATTCAATAATCCTTCAAGTAGTTAGCCAATTTGTTATAAAAAGTAAAACATTCCTCTCTTGCAAGATCAGCATATAAATAAAATCACTTTTTTAGCATGGAGAGCCACCACAATCTGCATTGCTCATTCAGCCATTCGCTATCGCTACTGAACCAAACTACTTTTAGGTCTTTACTTACTCAAACAATACATAATGTTATTCGCACAATTTTCATTTAGCTTTAGCATTATTGCTTATAATATTTATTCGCTTTGCGCACCAAGCTGAACGTGTTTACTATCTGGCATTGGCAATCTTATTGAAAATGCATTGGATGCGATACAATACAGCTACAACACGAGACAATTGACAAACCATGCAATATCCTTATGGCGTGTCAACTGTTATATTTTAATTACACTTACATATGCAATGCACAGAATACCCGAGCCAGCATATTATTACCAATATATGAACATTACATTATTTGCCGAACTGTGTAATGTGTAACTTAACTGCTGGCCATAATCAATTAGTAAAATGAATTGTTTTCTGGTTCACATGCGTAATGCATTCGTTAATGCAGATTACATAAATTGTCGGTGAGGTACCGATATAAATCTAAAAAGTGCTAATCTCCGAAACTACTGGTTCGAATTTAAGTAACGTTCTTTATTAAAAGTATCGAACATCATGCTGTGATCGACATGAGCCGCGAGTGAAAACGCGCGGAAATAACTAGTAGCTATGTGTGATATTAGGTGGCATCACAGTAAAGAATATTTAATTAATACGGTAAAAATAAATGTAGTGATTTTTTCAAAGCCCATCTTTACTCATACACATCATTATTTTGTATATGAGCGAGGGTGTGACAATAGACGCCTACTACCCTTAAGGATGTCTTAAGTTAGATGTCACCCCCATAAAACTAGATAATGTGCGTAGGTACACTGTTCACAATAACACGCGCTCTCGACCCGACCGGACGGTTACATTATGAAATTAATTTCATCCGACTCAACGCCAATGTAACAGGCTTAACGCGTATCCCGTGAAGCGTGAGTTCAAGCAGCGATGTTTAATTTTTTAAGTAAGTGTTTTTTATCATGTGAACTCACGTACATCAATACCGAACCGGGATATATTTTGATATCCTAGTTACTTACAAAGTGTTGCTAAAGCATTCTGGAAGAAGTAACTACCATAAATTTCATAACTTTTGGAGTTGGCGCTGAAACCGCTTGAAAATATTTTTACATAATCGCGACTCTAAAAACCAAAAATTATAAATAACATTTTCTAAAAATAATCGTTACAATTGCAAGAAACTTATAATCGTTAAGTTTTAGGGACGACTCATGCTAATTAACCATATTGGAATATAAAAAGTTACTTACTATTGCAATAAATCAATAGGACGATATTGCACATGCGTATAGGAAAAAAGTAGAATTGAGAGACAACATCGTAAAATTTATGAAAATATAAAGTTGAAGTTCCGTCAAGGATATTAAGTGATTCAATAGTAAAGAACATCCACCGGTAAGTACGGCGTACCACAATACAGTAAGCGTTAATAAATACGCTCATTGTATACAAACATCAAACAACTTTTCCAGCGTCACATACACGTACTTGTTGAATAACGATAAGGTACGACGAAACCTTGGTTTTCGAAGAGTCTTTTGCCGTCTCAAGACATTAGAGCTTTACAACAAAGTTCGCGCCCGATCCGTCGTAATATCTTTTCCATTAACGGAACTACAGTCCCCAGGGCTTTTGGAAGCACCCGAATCCAAGTCGGCGGAGCCCCGCTAGCCAATTTAACAATATTAAAATGGACTTTTTACTAGGATACTAGGCTTTCCGTAAAATATAGCTATAAAGATCTAGGATAAACCTAGTGACATATATATTTGTTGTGTAATACTCCTCATCTTAAATAAGTAATGTAGAAATCAATACTTTTAACATGTTGATTCTCGAATTGCGAATTTTGTTCATAGCACTCTAAGAGGTCTTGGTCTAAACTCCTCCACTACAGGATTCATAAAACACAGAACTGCCAATGGCCCACACTCAATATTAAACACAGGATAGGTCAACATTCCAATTGGCCACTATGCTATAGTGACCAATTCACAGTAGAATTCACACTATCAACTTGTAGGTAGCATTTATTTTGTAAACTGTAACGCGTTGTCTGTTCTGTCTTATCTTAATTCACTCATCTTTCATCGTGAAATATGAAATATGTTACTGTGCGAGTGTTTCTCAAAATTAATACTTAATTATCATTCAATTTGAAACCAAATGTCTATAAAATTATTATCTAACATGGGTCACCAATTAAATGTCAACGTTTTATAGTGATAATAGTGTCACAATCATGAACTTATGTATAGCACTTGGAACAAAACTGAGGATTTCATCAAACACCTGATGTGAAAGCAGATTTACAGATCTAAATAATAAGCCCGGCAGCAATATACAACTGCATTTAGTAAACCGACTATCATATCAATAATATCATGAACTTTAATTCAATAATTCAATGATATAATTTAAGAATGTGAACACTTGTATAGCACTTGGAACAAAACTGAGGATATCATCAAACACCTGATGTGAAAGCAGATTTACAGATCTAAATAATAAGCCCGGCAGCAATATACAACTGCATTTAGTAAACCGACTATCATATCAATAATATCATGAACTTTAATTCAATAATTCAATGATATAATTTAAGAATGTGAACACTTGACACCATTAACGTTTACCAATACTCTAGTCTTAACTAACTCTAGCCATATTTTATAGTTGTCTCATTTTTAAAGCATTTTACTACCTTACAAATTCATTTTCATCATCATCATCAACAACCTATAAGTGCCCACTGTAGAGCAAAGCCTCGTTTCACATGGAGAAGGTTTGAGCATTAACCACCACATTTGCTCATTGCGGGTTGGTGATTTCAACTTACAATCATTATAAAAATACATTTTATATTATTATATTTTCATGACAATTTTGATTATGATGTAGTCTTGTTTTTCAGTCACAAAAATTGAATGTCGATTGTACATTAGCAAATCATTTATTGGACGAGTGACCTTTTCCTTGACTAGGTATCTTGGTAGTAAAATCACTTGTACCAGTCATTCCATAAAACTGTTTCATTCATTTGTCTGCTGTATGTTATTTCAATATTGAAAACAAGTGCTTTTGTTTAATTATTACAAATCTTGCTTGATAATGCAATTTATTTTTGTTAAACTTACAAAATTATCATAAAAGTAAAACATATTATGCTTTTTCATTTCATTTATAGTATAAGTTCCTGTTATTCCTGTCCTTGTCCTGTGTTTATTTTATATGACTGAGTACTTATTATTTGTATTATTTTTCATCACTTCTCTAACCTAGTAACTACTTGCCTACTTAAGACTTATGTGGTTGAACAGAAAATTAAACAAATTAAACAAGTTCTAATTCCATCTCTGATATTATTATTGTTAACTGCATCAGGGTCATAAATCACAGCTAAAAAACATAAAATGTGAATTTTTGTCCTAAATTTGGGTTCAATTTATTAATTTCCACCAACATGTGGTTAAACTATGAAATAAAACAGGAAACACCCTTTAACAACAACCTTTTCCACAGTCTAGATTTCAATGTGTACCATAGTCAAGGGCTTTTCTTTTTTATTTCAGATAGGTATACAGCTTTTAAGCTTACAAAGCATTACAAAGTAATATATGAATTGTAGGTATTTTAAGATCAAAATATGTCCAATTTATATTTTTTAACATTATTTTGAAACAAATTCATTTTACACCTAGAAATTCTGCACCATACTATAGATATATTCAATTTACATAGATGTATGAGTTGTGTTATCTGTACAAAACAATCTAGTTCTTTCACATATACCTACTATTGAAGTTATAGCTATAACTATGACAGTAATGATGGCAGCATTGAAATTCGTTCGAATGAAGCACTTGACCAGCTGTTGGTTCATGTGCTTAGGTTGTAAACACAAGTCTAGGTTAGAATTCATAAAATTATAATTTTACTGAGTTTATTACTTTTATTCTTCAACTCTATAAAACCTGCTCTGATTTATTACATTGTTCTTGTGTATTACTTTTATATTTACGACCTTAAACACTTATTTTTTTTCTAGACCAGAATAGTAAAAGTTATGAAAAGTACTTTTTATGAAACTGATCTTAAAGAAAGCATTATAATTTTCTTGCTTTTCATGCCAAATCCAAAGAATATTAAAATAGTTAATATAATCAAATAATTAATATTATGATTGAAACTTTAGTTTAGTAGGTAATTGTATCTTCACTTGAATGCATGAAATTTTATATGGATCCTTTTGTGTCTCGACAAATTGTTGCACTTTTAAATTTAGTTTTCTAATACAAACTCAAACATAAAATTGCGCATAGCGTGTGAGGGCGCGGTCACTTGAATGTTATATAAAAGCTCGAAATTTTAGTACTACTTTAAAAGTTGCATAAACAATGTTGACTTACTTTATAATGAGCTGCATACTCTGGAGCTTCTTTCAAAAACGCGTACTCTTCAGTTTCCCCAGGTTTAAAAGTCTTTTTAACGTTCACTTTATAATGCGTGTAACCTCCATAACCTGCGCCGACGAGAACACCGATACTAGCACTAACAAGGGTTAACTTTGATGTCGACTTTGGAAGTCGGCTTTTAGTAGAAAAAAGAAATTTTGAGAGATTTAAATTATCTCTAAACGAAGGCAAAACTACTTTTTGTAAGATGGTGAAACTCGGCCTCCACATTATGTTATCAATCAGTAGTAAGACCACATGAAAACAAAATAATGCTATAGATAGGTACGTACGCAAACGAACGAGCTAGTAGCTACTATTTTGTAGTCTCGCTCGTTCGGTGCCTCTTTCACAGGGCTGGCAAACCAAATCTCTATTCTCTATGGATGATAATCACAGATTATACAGAAAGTCGAGAGGATATTATTATTCGATTACTTTATTTATCAATATTAATAAATTAGTATTAATTTTAAATACTTTTTAATATTTACTTAAGTTTAAATAAAGTTGGTACTCAGGCACAAATAAGATATTGTCCATTTCATTGAGTCTATCAAAACTCGAGACTTACGGATAATAACAAAAAAACCATCTTCTCAAATAGATTTTTGGCCACAAATTACTATTGTTTTATAAATATACCTGTATTTCAAGTATAAAATATTTTATTAGCCTTGTAGCCAAAACGTGATACATAATGATTCCTGTTTTTTCAAATTTCCAGAGATGGAACCTGAGAGACGTGAAGAGGTTTTTAAAATACCGGCACCAAAAATGAAAAAGAAAAGAAAACGCCACGACGAAGACGAAGATTATCTACCCTGGGTAATTTTTTATATATTATTCTCTTATATTTTTCAAAATCATCTATTTCAATTAAACCAAGAAAGTGCTTATGAACGTCGAAACAAAATATTAAAATATTTAAAATGTTCGTTTGGTTGGTCAGTCTTCTAGAGTCTAGTAAAGCTATTTTCAAAGTGTAAAATGTATGGAGACTAATGGAGAAAGCAAGAATCTCCATAGGTTACATTTTTCAGTTAGGTTAACAATACAATTCTTGGTTACATTATTTCATTGGTTCAATTATGTGAGAATAATGTAACATCAATATCCAGTTAAGGAGAAAGAAAAGAAAAATAAATTTCAGGACAACAAATTAAATACAGCTTGGAGCTTACCAGTCCTAGTTGAGTGCGCCTGTTCACGAACATAACACGAACACTAGCACCACCCCATTAACTATATTGTAGGGAATCGAGCCATCCACTGCCCGCGCCACTTCCAATGAGATTTTGAGTTAGCATGACAACTTTAAGCTCCAATAATCAATATTATCAATGTTTGCAAAACTTAGTATATAACTATTCTGCTTAAATACATTACCGTGTAAATTAATTAGATACCTATGAAGTATTTACTATCCTGTCCCCTGTCACTTCAGCTTGTTATTAATCCGCTCGCTACTGAGCAATGTGAGCTAATTACCTACATGCTCTGTGATCTGAGCAAGCGACAGTCGTTTGTTTGTGTCTCGTTTGATCATTTGACGTTCCGATATATTGATATCCCTAAAAATATCGAGCATATACCTTCTCATGGCACACTGAGGGACAACTGTTTTGCACCGAATAGCATGTATATTAGTTATAACGCTTGTAAGTTGTAATTATTGTTGTAAAACACACTGAATATGGAATTATAGACCATCGATTTAACTGAGGTGTCCTCAAAGTGCGTTCAGCTTGGCAAAAAAGTGGTGACAGCTGGAACTAATAATGTATAGGACTGAATCATCCACTTTGGATCATATTCCATGAATAAAAAATCATTCTAACAATGTAGTTCCTCATGTTAAACTCTATAAAAATATCAAGTATCCAAACCGGTAGAGTCGTAGTGTGTAGGCTGCGGGCTGCCACAGGTACGCTCAGGTACGATACTAGCGACCTCAATAATTACAAACTCTCTTTTGCTAAGCTAAGGTCAATCGTTATTAGAGGTATTTTACGTCTACAGGATGTTATACTATCATAATTAACCGTTCATACAATTGAGATAATCACGATATTGGTCTGAATTTCTCCGTTTGCAATATTAGGTTTACTGGTCCTGGCCAGCTAGGTCTAGCTGGATGAAGTGACGACATACGAAAGGTGGCTGGCAGTGGTTGGATGAGAAAAGCTGAAGACCGAGCTCAGTGGCTCGCCATTGGAAAGGCCTATGTCCAGCTGTGGACGCATACGGGCTGATGATGATAGTAATGTTGATGGTCCTGGCCTAATGTTTATGAAATTGTGAAAGAACTAATAACAAAGTGCAAATCTTAAAATTATCGCTTCATTCATAAAATAATTAAAAAGATGAAATTATATATTGTTATAAAACATTTACTCGCCTAATCGAATAAAATCGATTTCCCATAAATGAATTAGATCATAGACAACATTGTATTCACAACAGTAATTTTCCCGTCTCGGGTTTGTCGCTATGTCTCAGGGCCGTCACACTTAGAGCCATTGACAGCTTAAAAAATCGGACCGTCAACTACATCTAGTTTTCGAACCTGAAATTAAATGTTGTCAAAACTAATATTTTCAGTGGCCACACAGTTCCAAGCAAAGTTGCAACATTATTTTAAAATTTAGGCTTAAAATAATATTTTTTGGAAATAGTAAAATAACATTATACACATTTATTTAATACTATATTGCAATTTTTACAAAATAATTCCTTAAACTTAGATCAAATGACAGTTATGCTGGCATAATCGATCAAAGATGACAGCCTCTTTACTAATAATAGAGATTAAAAAGATATTAAGTGATGGATGACAAACTAAACTCTATGAAATGACTGCGTCAGGTTTCTGCATCCAAAAGCATTAACCTAAGAGCCTGTGAACCTCAGGTCTAGGCCACCGTTTTTATTATATAAAAACTAATATTATATGAAAATACTCAATTTTCATAGAAAATCTATAAAATAGGTCGCACGCATTCTTTCTGTCTCTCTATCACACACACACACACACATTCACACACATACTTTATCTTTCTCGATAAATGCACTAACTCTATTTCGTTCAGTCATCATCTCTGATTTACAATTTGACAGCACCATCATTTTCACCACCCTCGAGAACCATGAAAACGACACCTATAACGATAAATTGAAAATACCGTGCAGCCGCCATCTTGGATTTGCATTTTGACAGCACCATCTTTGTTACCACCCTCGAAAACCATGAAGACGATACTAATGACAATAAATTCAAAATTTTGTGCAGACGCCATCTTGGATTTACATTTTGACAACACCATCGGCTTTATCACCCTCGAAAACCATGAAAACGACACCCATGACGATAAATTGAAAATTTCGTACAGTCGCCATCTTGGATTTGCATTTTGACAGCACCATCGGTTTTATCACCCTCGAAAACCAAGAAAAGGACACCCATGACGATATATTCAAAATTTTGTGCAGACGCCATCTTGGATTTACATTTTGACAACACCATCGGTTTTATCACACTCGAAAACCATGAAAATGACACCCATGACGATAAATTGAAAAATGTTGTGCGCACGCCATCTTGGATTTACAATTTGACAGGACCATAGTATAAAGAACAAAGTAGGTTATCTTCATACAAATGCTCCGCGCGCGGCTTATATGTGTGCGCCATAGTATCTATGCGTCGACGCACGCACACTTTAACAAAATCTCGACCCGTTTCTCAGTGCGCCAGGCAGGGCTGACACTGTACGAGGTTCGCGCGCGCTTCACGGCTTTTCGGCACTGTTCAATGAAATAAAAAATGTCTGATAATCGTAGAAGAACGTATTGCTGTGTGTTTGGGTGTCTTAATAATTAATCGATTCCAGAACTGTCTCTGTTCAGATTAGGTACCTATTGAACAGGAAAGGTAAGCTAGTCACTTTTTCTTAGCATAATATAATTTGTAGGTACTTGATGATGAGATACCTACTTACTTATTCTTACTCTTATCATTCTTCATAGTTCCTACTCAACCAGAAATGTAATTACCTACTATACTTAAATATTATAAGAAAATGTGTTATTGTATTGTTTATTTCACAGTTTATCTGATTTGTTAAGAGCGTAGCCGAGTCGCATTTTTCCATATAAATGTATTCCCAAATTTACTTTCTGAATACTATGTATAGAGCTAAAGTTTATTTTAAGAAGTTAATAATCTTTTTATAAGCTTTTAATTTTTACTAAATTTATAAATTGATAAAATATTCAATCATAATATGCTTTTCATTTCATAAATTTAGATCAAGTGCTGCTTGTTCGAAAATATTAACTAAAAGTAAAAGTGACAACCCTGGGGATCAACGCAAGAGTAGGCTAATAACTCGGCGGGCGGCCTTAGATAACCTACTGTGTTCTTTATACTATGACAGGACCATCGGCTTTATCACCCTCGAAAACCATGAAAACGACACCCATGACGATAAATTCAAAATTTTGTGCAGACGTCAGCCCTGTTCATTTCCATTTGATCCAAGTTTTCGAAGATATTATTCATAATAGCTAGTCATTAATTGATTAATTACTAGTCATTACGAATAATATCAAATTAATCACTTTGGCTGTAACATATGTATATACATTTAGATCAAACTGATACTCCTTTTTTAAAGTCGGTTAAAAAAGAATCATCAAAATACGTTAAAAAACGACGAAGTCATCCCTGAAGGAACATAAAAAAACCTTATAGGTTTATAACTTTTCCTTTTTTTAAGTCCGTTATGTGTAAATAACAAAGGTCTGGGGTTCATAGGCTCTTGTACTATATGGATTGTCAAATTATAATTTTTTACGGCAACGCTGGGGCTAAAAAAATATTAAAACATTACAATAATAATTTTCCAAATTATTTAGATAATAAATAACTATTAAAATAATATTGTTAATAATTAGATATTGATGTTAAATACTTTTTTATATTATCTCCTTATTTTATAAAATAGTATGCATGTAGTTTGTACTATTTTAATACTGGCATATAATATGTATACTTTTTGCTTGATAAAGAAAAGAAACAAAAACAAAAATTTGAAATGTCAAAATTGTAAAAATTTTTGCCAAAAATATTTTAAATTATTTAATAATTTGTGATGGGATTTTGTGATTGTTTTTCTAAAAAAGGAAGTTCTGCGATGCGTGTTGTGTTGTCTATAAAGGACCTTTTGTATACATGTGTATCACAAATCACAAAAGTACATTGTGTTTGTTTGTCTATTCATTGGACTTGATTTTACAAAGGAACGCTTTAATTTGCGTATATATCTTATTTATAATAAAGAACATCAATACGAAGAATACAATCATGTTGCTGAAGGTAAAACCTACAACGAGTTTATGATTTTTGCTATTGAACCTATTTATACATTTTATTTGATTCATTGAGATACCAAACTATGTAGTTTTTATAAATTTCTACTTTTTCTTTTGTATATTTGTTACAGTGATATTTGGAATTGCTATTGCATCGATATTACTTCAGCATCATCATTGCAGAATATCAATAGTGCAATTTTTATCGGCAGTTACGAGTCTTACGATGTCCGGATAAAGTGCCGATCTATACCAGCAGTGCTTGAAACCTATTTTAGAGATGGTAAATACTATATTATTCTTGTAACATCAGTAATATCACGTAAGGTATACCTACCTTAGATAAATAAAAGAAAACAAATAAATAAAATACATATTTCTGCATGTAAAAATAATCTTTGTTTTTTTTTTTCAGGTACAATTTAGAATTGTTCTAACATTCAGACGTATATTGTTGTCTCAAGAAACAAGAAACCCATAGATCGCTGCAAATATTAAAGCCGTATTATTTTTGTAAAACTATTTTTATCTTTCTATTAATGGTCCGCGGGTGGCCCGTGTTGCTCTATGTAATAATGTATATATCATAATTAGAACAACATTTTAAGTACCTACGCACAACAAAGTAATATTAAATTATAAATAAACTAAAATAGGTACATATTCACACTTTAAAAAAAATGTTACCTTAGGGCATCAAAAATTCTTTTTCATCGCTATCGTGGACTAAGGTGACCAAAAGACTGGCAGCATTATTCTAGGTTTTACTTATTTGTATTCATATATGTAGAGGTCTCTCCTTCTTGGGCTTGACCTGGTGAAAATGGGCACCGCTTCCCGCAACCCGCAGGAAAAACGATGCTCATAGCCCCTTCTAAATTTGATTTATAAATCTCCTTCTTTCTCTTCTGCTGACTACTTGACTACTAACTGGGTGTAGTTTGTGTGCCAGATGTGAATTGTGAGCTTCATGTGATAGTTGACTGAGTGGTTTGTGGTGTTTGCGCTTGAGATGGTTGTAATTGATCGGAATCTGGAATGTATGTGACGAAAACTGTGTCTCCTAGTACTTTGCTAAGAATGATTATTGTGTGAATGGTGGCTAATGTCTATTTATGTTTCTAGTTTGTCTGTGTATCTGCTGAGGCTTTTGGCTAGTACCTACTCCTGTGGCTCCAATTACTATAGAATTAACATGCGTTTCAATATTTCAAGGCGTCTAGCCTTGAGTTGTGTCTTTAAAAAGTGGTATTTACTGAATTTCTTTTGCTCCTATGTTGTAGTTACATGGTACAGTTATGTCAAAGAGGTATGTGGTGTTGGATGTTTTGTTTGTGTATATTATGTCCGGTCTGTTGTGGGCAACTGTGAAGTCTGTCTGAATTGGGATTTCCCACATTATTTTGCCTGTTTCATTTTCATTTGTATTTATAATAATAATATTACTTTGTTTCATTATAATGTTATAAAAATATTATATTTGAGGATAGGAAAAATCTGTAGTTGTTTAGTAAAAATGACTGTAATATAACTAGATATAGGAAACGACTAAGTCAGGCATTATTAGCAACTAGCAAAAAAAAGTACTAAAAAACTGAGACTGACTGAGAGGCAGACTGAGACTTATTTTTAAGCACTATATTTTTCGACATTATAATAATAAGTAAGGGGTCTCGAGTTCGATACCCGGGTCGGGCAAAGTATTACTGGGTTTTAAAAAATTCTCAGTAGTAGTAGAGTAGTCTGGAAATGTGCCCGGTATATGGCAATAGGCTCACCCCCTATTACATGGGACTTATAACATAAATAGTGAAAAGTGGGTGTTACATTGTACAGTGGCATTGAGTGCCGAAATGTGCACCTCTGCCTACCCCTTCGGGGATAAAAAGGCGTGATGTTATGTATGTTATGCTATGTAAATTGTATAATAATTTTGTGTTTTTGTAAATACTGTAAGCGATTCAAATCGATGGTAAAATGTACTACATTTGTGTAGGTATTACGGTTAATTTATATCATTAGATTGTTAACTACTGTTAGGTACTGTGTAAACAACAGTGAACAGTAAATATTTTTAATTTTAGTTCTTTGTGGGATCAATAATTAAAAAAATAACTAATTCAAATAAATTTTGAACGACATATTTATATCTGAAATTTGTAAACATAAAATTAAAAAGAACTAAAATTTGAATTATACTTTGAACAAATCTGTCGTCTGATATTTCCCTACTAGCTGATAATTTTTAAATGTTAATTTGTATTTACTGTAAAATAAATGTAATATTGTAATTAATAACTTCTTTGATTTTGCAGCTACCAGACATAGCTAATTCCAATACTACCTTCAATGTACCAACCTGCAAGGTGCATTGTTGGTAGTATTGGCATTAGCTATACTTAGGATTATCTGTAGACATTAGTAAAAAAAAAATATACTTGGATTCAATTTTCAGATGGCGTTTCAAATTGATTGGCATAAATTTTGACGAGTGGCAACTCTTTACCCCTATACTTATTATACTCTTTGCTATGTCTGTTGTAGATATACCAGTTATCCAGTGATTATGATTACATTCTAGTTCATTAACTAGACTTTTGAGGAATTGTAAAATGCTATGTTTTATCATTTCTTTTTTTTCTCCAGTGACAATAAGCCACGAGTGTTTACTTATGTTTTAAACGCGGTAGCTTACCTCTGGCGCCATAAGTAAGGTAATTGTCGTTTCACATCTTCATCTATGATATTGGCGCGTTAGTGATTCCCAAAATTTATCAATGTGTTATGAACTGCGCAGTGTTCAGTAATGGTTATTAAATGTTTAGCGCCGGGGTTATGCCCGAAGCATGCCATCGACGTCGCGGTCGAGGGGCTCCGGGCGCGGGCCGGACGGCGCGCCACGGCCCCAAGTCATAGCGCCCATGTCGGAGCGGCAGCAACTAGCCCTCGTGATGCAGATTTCATCACAAGATGCTCCTCCAGGTTTGGTACCAATTATCATCATATAATTGCAAGTGTTATTGCTGAGAGTAGGTCTGACTTCCCGCCATTTCCATATTCAGCCGCTCCGACCCCAGCAGAAGAACGAAAACGCACTAGGCAGCAGCGCAATGAGCGCGGTGAGACACCTTTGCATGTAGCAGCTATCCGAGGCGACCACGATCAAGTAAAGAAATTGCTAGACCAAGGACAAGATCCGGATGTTCCAGATTTTGCTGGTAACATATTATTAACTTTTCTTATTTAATGGTCAATGTTCTATTAGTTTCCTCCATTTTATCCATGTTTCTACTTTCTTGCTTCAAATACTAGTATGACATTTTTTTTGCTTCTGTGAAAATAAGGATATATGTTTTTCAAACTATTTGATGTTGAATTTTCAAAGTCAATGTTTATTGTCGTTCACTCACATTGTATTGATGTTTAGTTCATATTTGTTCACATGTACACAAATATATATAAACAATAAACCACAATTAAGTTCAAGCTAAACAGAAACAAGAGCTAAAGCTGCTTTAATGATGAATGTAAAACCATTTTCAATATTTACTGTTTATTGAGATGTAAGCTTGAATTTAACTATGTTGTTATGAGTCCTCCCCTTGCACAAGCATGATTAGTTTGTATGGGGTGGTTAACAAGTTGTCTAGTAAATGTTAATAACATTTCTAGCATAAACTGATTATGTTAATAGATAAATACCTAATTGACTAAACAGATAATGAAATATTTTTTAATTATCAATTGTCAATAGATTGTTTGATCATCATTAAAATCATTATTTATTATTGTGACTATTTATGTTAGAGTGATAGGACATTATACACAACTCTACAGGTAGCAAAATTTTAGCAAGTGTCAACACTACATCATCAAAAGGATTAGATTATTTGGCTTGAGCAGATATAATACTAAATAAAATTTTAAATCAATAGGGTGGACACCACTTCATGAAGCTTGCAGTTATGGGTGGTATCAAGTTGTAGTGGTACTTGTAAATGGTGGTGCTAATGTCAATGCAAAAGGTTTAGATGATGATACTCCTTTACATGATGCCACAACTTCTGGTAATCTCAAAATGGTCAAATTCCTCATTGAACATGGAGCCGATCCATTTGTCAAGAACACCAAAGGGAAAATGCCATCAGATTATGCTGCACCACACATCTTTGAATATCTGCAATCTTTAAAAGGTATGTTTTCCTAATTCCAAGTATGTACTATGATTATATTTTAATTTGTTTGTCTAGTATGGATTAAAATGAATTGTTTTTTATACAATTTACATCCAGAACACTACACTAGCATATTGTATTATTTTTGTATAATATATTATTGTATCTCTAATAATCAACCTATTCTAATATCTAATCTAATTATATATTATATATGTATATCATATATTTTATATATATATAAGAAAACATCTACAAATCATTGTTATTAGTTTCTGTTGAATATATTTTCTATTGGTTTAATTAACAATGACTTTTATTTTAATTTGTACTAGACACTCTAAAAATAATGTGAATTTGCTTTTATAGGGACTTGTTAACACAATTCATCAGAATGTAACCAAATTAAAACATAATGTATGGGTATTAACATGATAATATGGCAAAACAAGTATTTTACACAATTAATTATGATTTATTTGAACAAGTGAAGAACTAGTCATGCTTGTCTCAATCACACTAAATGTTTGCTTCATAAAATTAGAAGCTTTTGATTACATACTTATACTGCTGACTATTCTTCTCATTTTGATCATTTACTGTTGTATGTCTTAAAGCTCAGCATGTTATGTTTAGCTAGTTGTAGAAGCTAATGCAATAGTTTTATAGGGTGAGAAAATATCAAGCTGTTTGATCATTTCAGCCCTGTAGTTTATGCATGTTGATGTTATGTAGCTAATTTAGTATATATATATATATATTTAGTGTAACTACTTATTGTTAAGCAATTTTTGCTGTATCGGAAAGTTGTATGCTCTATATGTTAACAGTTTATTGAACTTTAACATAACTAACTCAAAACTTAAACCAACATTAAACCTTATGTTAAGTTAAAACGGTTATATCAGAATTCTTATCAATTAGTATCAGCAGGAACTTAAAAATTCCTTCCTAACTTAAAAACCTCTTCATTGTGTTTGATAGAATGGTGGTGTTTTCTTAATATTTGAAAGTCAGACAGTTACATTTTTCTCTACAAAGAAGAATAAGAAAAGCTTTTTTTAAAATAGCAGCAAATTCCTCCTTCTCACGGGTACAATTTCCAGATTTTTCTCAATTTTCAATGATTTGCTTTCATATTATAAATGGTTTTGTCTAAGTCAATAATTTTATTTAATTAATATTGCAAACCATTGACTGGGCCTTCTAAGTTAGCTGGGTACTATCTTCTTTTTCTCCTTCAGTCTTTCGTCTCATGACTAATAATCAAAACATCATAAATGATTATTAGTTCACTTTCTATGTTACGGTCTTGAATTTGCCTGGATCCTTTAAAGGTATATATAATAGACATCAGTAATTCTGACCGGCATAGCCTTGTAACCACTAGATATCTATCTTTAACTAAATATTTGGCTACCCAAAAAACTATATACCTAAGTAATTAAAAACCGTGTAGGTCGAAATCACATCTATCTTATCTGTTTATAGTGGTAAAAATAGGGTAGTAAATTAGAAGGGTGTGGCACACTATTTTTATTTTGGTAAAAAATAAACTCAGCATAATGTATGAAGGCTTTTTTGTTGTCATTGTATGTATATGAGTATAAATTTCTTGTCGTCATTCTCAACGCAGCTAGAGACCAATATTGTATTCAACAACAAAACACTGTTAGTGTAAAAAAATCAGATTAGCAATTACTTCACTTTTTAAATAATTTGAAAAGTACAAGAAAATCTTAAATTCATTTAGCTTACTTTTTCCTTCTCCATTATTTGACTTGTTTCTGACTTTCAGGGACACCATGCTTGTAATTTATTATTGACTCTAAATATATGTGCCCATCAGAGAAATACTCTTCACAAGATTTATTAATTTGACCTTTCATATTCTTAAAGGACAGCGGCAGGGCCCCGCAATTTTCCGATTATGTTCGCAATTGAATCTGTTGAATTTGTTGACCCCTCCAATCATAAGATGCGTTTCTGTCGCAGAGGTACGTACATCTAATACGAATGTACATCTAATACGAATCTAGTCGTCCACAGAACAGAAATATTTTTAATGAGAGAATATCATCGAATGACTTCTCCCACCTGGGTGAGAACTGTCAGACTGTTACTGACTAAATATCACCCCGTTCCTACTCCTGCACTTCGAGCTGGAGCCCCGGTAACCTGTTACGTTCTCTGCGGGTCCGTATCGGCATCAGCCCTATTGGGCCCCATCTGTGGAGGTGGTTGATGATGGATGGCTCTTCGAGAAGCACGCGGAACGCGACGCGCCGTACGCTCGGCTATGGTTCTGGTCGGGCCGCGAGCTACCCGTGCTCGCCGTCCGCATGCCCGTGCTTACAGTGGCCGAAGATCATCTCGCGATCCCCGACGCCCGGAGTGTCCTTTGCTAAGGCTGAGTTGTGAGGAAACAGTGCTTTGCTGCCTCACGTATCCTGCTTCCTCCTTAGCTAGCATGACATAGCTACATGCTTCGCAGTAGGGCTCAGTATCCCATTCCTCCTCGCTCCGTAGGTGTCATGGCCCGAACTAGAGCCGGACCCGAGAGGTCGCCGTCACCGATCACATCCCTAAGGACACGGTGGTGCTCAGTTGGGCTGAGCACCACCATCGGCGGCAGGGCGCGCCGCCACCGTCTGCTCGACCGTGTCCTTCGGGCGGTCCTCCCCTCACCGGGGCATTTCCTTCCGCCCTATCTGACACAGGTACCTCCCGAAGCTCCCATGTCCGGTAAGTACCTGCGTCAGGCGGTACGGTAGGTGAAGACGACGTAGACTAAGGACTTGTTGATAACTAATTTTATACAGTAAGTAGAACAGACAGGCAGACAAAAGTTCGTAAAAACGTAGTTTTGTACTTTTGTTGCTCTAATAAAAATAAAAACGGCCCATGTAAGAGTTTCTTTATGTCCTTGATGTACCCACATCGGCCGCGACTCACGACCGTTCTATTCATTCTATTAGGCTAGTACCTATAGTTAGAACACTGCAGCGAGGTCGTGGGGTAGGCATAAAGTGCATTAAGTATATTCCGCGCCTGTCTGATATCGATCGATCCAAGACTTAAGTCGAGCTCGTTGCTACCGTCAACCGTGCTACTTTTACAGAATATTAGCTAAAACGTTACGTAGAAGTCATTCATTGCTATTATTCAATTTAACTACATAGGTAATTAACTGCTCAGTACAATTTACATACAAATAATTACAAGGCATAATATCGTTAAGGTTTTTTCGAAGACATTTAGGGATGGAAATGAAGTTCATTTAGTGGACTTATAGTGAAATATTTATGAATAACGACCTGTCCCCGTTTTGCACGGCCGTTAATTTCCAACTTCCTTTGTGTTAGTAATTTCTTTGTTAGCAGCCGATTGCTATATACCGAGTTTTCGAAAAGTTTATATAAAAATAATCTGTCATAATCCGACGATGACAATAAAACAATATTTATATCTATCTGGCCGGTCACTGATGAAATGTCCGAGACTACCGAGAATAATTGGTATCCATTTAGATTTCTTTTAAAAACCTTGCATCTCACTAACTCAAACCTAATTTCTATCACACGGGTTGGGTTTTATTTTTTACATAACAACTTCGTTTTTATTTATTTACTTATCTTAATTATTAGTTTTCCAAAAATAATAAAGCGTATGTATATTTCCTAAACTTTTATACTTTAAATAATACACGGAATTCAAAGATATTAGACAAACAATGGAGGTATGTTAGTCAATCAAAGAAATTATAAGTGGTTACTCAGGTTTTTCCTAGGTTACATTTATTTTACGTTTAATTCAGATCGTACTTGTAGCGCCATCTATTGTGCGTTTTTCAGCGAGGTGTCCTCGCCCTTCGTGATGGGCCCACTTTGCAGTGCAAAGTTTGCACCGCGTGGCGCATTATGTGAATAACAGTTTGCGTTTTGTTATGTGATACACATAGGAAGCGAAAAATTGCATCGATGACAGTTTAATTGTTTAATACTCTGTGAAGTTACCCACAGCGTATTACTTTGTTTAAATTATTAATATAAATAGCTATATCACTTAGAAGAATAAATCAAATCAAACTGGTACTAAAACTGCGATTTCGATAAAGACTATAGAGTAGACTAATATTCATAGGTGAAAGCAGACCCGAACCCGAGTCACAAAAATCGCGAGTTTTAAATTTAATGCGGTATGTTTACTTTAATTATTTTTGTGAATGGCTACACGGAAAGCGTAATGCGCAAGCGCACCAGTTGGTATATGTTACTAAAAATCAACAACGTATAACGTAACGTCTCAGCTACGAGTAACGTAACCACGTGAAGTTCGTCCGGTTCGTTCGATGTACATGCCGTGCCGCGTCGATTCTCTACATAGAGTATCTCTACCTTTACGTATAGAAAATGATTTGGTAATTTATATTTACTTTTCCATTCTATTTAATACGAATTTTTAACTCTCTGTAACTGTCAAAACTTATAGCGCGACACGTTTTCCAATTAATTGTAACATTTTGGAAACTAATGTTATAATTATTTCGTGTAAAGGAGCGATTTGGGGCGTGTTGCTTGGGCTGTCGAATGATGGCCGATCCCTGACGCCAACTTCGTGGCGGTCTTGTAGACCGATATAGCATAAGTTTTATTGTGGAAAATTTCAGTTTACGGACGAATATAAACTCTTCAAACTGTCGGACTACGTGAAATGCAAAGGAGGACGCTCTCGCACAACAAAGGGGAGTTCACGTTTACTCATTATTCACCTCATAGAGTTTACTTGTGATCATGATGCACGCCGCACATGATCCGCGATCGTGCTCTGACCCCTGCGTAAACTCATATTGATGATCTGATTGACGTGACAATATGATTATTTTATAAAACGCTCATCATGGGTTGTCAGTAATTAGTGGACGTAGTAAGCTTTATTTAAACAATTTGTAAATAAACTGCTGAGGCGCTAAGGTAATTACGTTTCCAAGTGTCATTATTAAAAAATTAGCAATACTTTGTATTTGTAGGTAAGTAAGCCAGCTTCCGTACATTGCCGGGAATTTTCGTAATTTTATGTACTAGCGTAATATTGATTATTCATGCAATATACGACTTTTTAATACTGCCATATCAGTGTTTCATTGTCTTATCAACAAAGTGTGTGGTGTGTGCTTCTACTTTTTGGTCTGTATTTTTCGGTCGATACTGACAGTATGCCTTAGAAAATTAATTAGAGTTTAGTAATTACTGCATAGGTTGATTCAAAACTAACATCAATGATCTCATGCTTCGTATTTATTTACCTACCGAATTTATTATTCCTACTTCCCTATCATTTTATACATGTCTTAAAGAAGACTAAGACTAAGTTTTAATGAAAATCTTTATTCTGTAGGTTTACATTAAAATTACAAACATTTCAAGTACATAGTCTAATATGCACACAAATATATTTAAAGTAGCAATGTAGCTATAGTTAAGTAAATTATCATGATTTATTTATTTTGACATTACTTTAATGTCCTATATAATTAACAATCATTAAAATACAATTTGGTCCATAGAATAAGATAACCAAATATTTCATAATAATGTTGAAATTGTTGTTTTTATCTTGTTGTATGTAGTTTAAGTTAGAAAAATGTGTGACTTGCAGTAAGTTGTATAGACATATTATACCTGATATACCAAGGGAAGTAAATGTATTACATTATTCAGAGAGTTGTTTGAATTAGAATAGATGAAATATGTAGACAAGATGTAGTTGAACATGTTTTCCATGTGCCCCTTAGAATTGTTTTCTAATGGTAATAAATAATAACATAGTAATAAATAAATGTAGCTGTCCAAAACTTTACTAGGTTTCTATTACATTTACACATTTATTTATAAAATCATAGTTTGTGTGATAATATTTCCATCCATCTAACAATATTAATACTTATTCACTATTATTCTTACTGTAAATATTCCATTTAACATAGAATAATCATTATTGAATATTATAATAATGACATCATCACAGTCAACATCATAACAACTCCCGAAAGTGTTAAGTTTCTCTTGTAAATATTCCATAAAATAAAAGTTTAATATAAAAATATAATAGAATGTATTTTAATATTAATAAAATTGACAAAATTAATATTTAATTAACAATTATAATTTATGAAGATTCAAAATGTGCTTCAGTATTGAAAGAACTTGTTTTCCGGCTTTTAAGGAAAGTGCTGTCAATATTAATGACAAGAAGGTTCCTTTTTATGTGGAACGTATTGGTTTATGTGAACAGATAATAACGCGAGAGCAACACACGTCAGTCGGGCAAGGGATGACAGCATCAAAAAGGGTTGCAATGCCAGTGGTAACAGCGATTGCAGTAAGCGGAACAACATGGAGACCCTAGCCCAGGGGGAACATTTCGATGGCAAGGACATCACCACACAGGAAAAAGGGGGTGCCGCCGAGTCCAGAGACGGTTAGAGGCATAAAAAAAGCATTCGTATTTTGAGAGCTTCGTCGAGGCGTCACGTAACGCTGCCGGCTGGGGTGGTGTTAATCAGTGGTGGCCATGTTTCAAACTCAAGCTATAACTACTTTTTTTTTAAGCAATCATTAGATTAATTAATCATAATTATGTCAATATAATTATAATTATTTAGATATATGCATAATTATAATAATTAAATTAAGGAACTCATATACAGAAACTAAAAGAATTAGAATTGTTCGTCTGTCTGTCTATTTCTAATTCTAAATAATATTTGAGCATGGTTTAGTCCTCACCATGTTTGATTGCCAGAGCCAAAATAATTGGAGTTTTTAGAAAATAAGTATTATGTGATAATATTTACCAATATCTAAATACATATAACAATAAATAATTATATCATATTGTTAACATCGAAAAAACGGCTCTTATAGAAAATAAATTATAGTATTATACTATTTTCAGTTAAAGTTGAAAACAACATAGTATTTGTGATGTTTTTACATTAATTTTATTTTCAGATGGATCTCAGCTAAGTAGCTCTGTGGTATCATCGACTCAAGACGACAGCATTAAGAGACCGCACGAAGATAGTGCAGATAATGAAGCGGCTGAAGACGATGTTTCAAAACGGAAGAAACGTAAGGACAATGAAGAGAAAGAGCCAATGGGCAAGCCGGCTCCGGTGGCGCGAGGAGGACCTGGACGGTACGACTATAAACATGTCAATACACGCTTTTATAAAACACAATCAAGGCTTATATAAAGCACAACACTTTCATGGTTGAAGTAGTTAAAGAATCGGCTGATGTGCAACATGTCGTAGGTTTAATACCCGCCCAGAAAAATGTATTTTGTGGTCGACAAATTGTTCCATTTATCCTAAATATGTGATAGTGTCTTATGGCTTAGGGGAAAATACTAGTGTGGAGTTTTTAAATAAACAAATTAATTTCTGTACCAATAAATGTTTGAATTTTAATATTTACAGTGTCTTAACTGGCAGTAAGCCACCAGGGCCTGCAAGTAAGACAGGTGCTGTACCATTAGGAAAGAGTGGAAGTGGACAGAATGTCAGCAAAGGTGGTGCTGGCTCTTCTGGCAAGGGTAACTTACAAGCACAGGGGAAAGGAGGCAGTGGAGGATCAAAGGGCAATGCGCAAGGGTCACATCAGGTAATTTTATTAATTTATTTAAAGCCCCATGGGAAGAATTAAAAGAAACTAAACAATTTTTTTTACTTTGTTCTCACATTTCCCACAGTTATTGATCAAGTAAATGTTGATGAAGCTCTAAGTGAGTCTCTCTCTCTCAATGAGTTTTCAGTGCCTCTGGCAAAACTGTTAAGAATAAGCTAGTAACTTATATCATCGATAAATAAATAAAGGAATTCACTGCCTAACCCTTCGGGGATAAAACGGATGATGTTATGAATTCACTAAATTGTTATAAAATACCTTTCAGGGGAAATCTGGAGGCGGGAAGGGTAGTTCTCTGCAAGTAAGCAAGCAGGACCGGAAAAGCCCAGTTGCTAGTCCAAAGCCGAACCAGAATAAAGATAATGATGGTGACGATGAGCCAAAGACCCATGAGACGGCACCTAAGGTCCCGCCGCTGAAGATCGTCATACCAGGTGGTGCAGGAGGCTCTGGCAGTAGAAACGAGCAAGAAGGCGAAGGTAAGACTCCCAACATGAATTATACAGTAACCAATGTGATTTTATTTACATTTCGTCTTATTTAAAATCGCGTCACTTTTTTGATTCCTGTATGCATCTTGGCATTACATGCATAGATTACATTTAAGTGCATGTAATATGATATTGATGATGATTCCTCAAACAATAAATGGTTTTCAATTGGCAGGTTTGTATGGAAGTTTCGTACCGCTATAAAATTTTGTATTTGTTATTTTTTAACCAAGTAAATGGTCTGAACGATAGATATTTTTATTATGATGTTTAGAAAAAAAATACATATTTTTAGAACTTGGGGTTCAAAAGTTATTTCACTTCGAAAATGTGCAAAAGGTACGTTAAGGTGGCTCTACACCTGACATTGCGTATTCGCTTCATTTGTCCAAATATTTGAAGACTACGTACAAATGGTGTCCAAATAGTATCCCTATATGTAATGGCGTGCTATAAGCAAATAAAGACGAATAAATCCTCCACACATGGTCTTTTTTGGCCGAACACAACAAATACGCAACGTCAAGTGTAGAGCCACCGTTAAGCAAAGTATCTAATATTACCAACTAGCTTCTGCCCGCGACTTCGTACGCGCAATCCCATTCCCCCCCCGTTCCCGTTCGCGATTTTCGGTAAAAGTAAAAAAAAAAATAGATAAAAAGTATCCTATGTCCGTCTCCTGGTTCTAAGCTACCTCCCTGCCAATTTTCATCTAAATCGATTGAGACGTTCTTGAGTTATAAATAGTGTAACTAACTCACGACTACGACTTTCTTTTATATATATAGATAACAGAAGACAGTTAACTGAAAAATGTCAATGTGCTCTCATGTGGTTGTTTACAAACAAAAGTCTAAATACTGCTCTCTACTCAAGTGACTATTACACTTTGTATTAGTAATGATCCTATAGAGTTTTAAAAAGTATGCCTCACAATCTTTTTCATTTCCTAGGTGCCTACGAAAATGCAAATTCATAATGTAAGCGACTGTAGTAGGCCTTAGAAGTGGAAGTCTTGTGGCGGATATGATGAAACTAGTGTCTCACTTCACCTTGAATTTTGCGGGTCTCAAAGGTCGCAAGTTAATTCGATTTAAACTTAAGCTAAGCTTAAGTTTAAGCTCTTTGAGAAAGTATTTCTTCTGAAAACTGGTTGCTTATAACGCGTGTAAGGTTTAATTTCTAATAAGTAATTCAAATTAGGAGAATCATCAACATTTTCATTATTAAGTCTATTAGTTGCCACTGCTGATCGAAGGCCTCTTCTCACATGGAGAAGGTTTGAGCATTAATCACCATGCTAGCTCAATGTGGGTTGGTAATTTCAAACTTATAATAAAAAATTATAAAAGCCCAGGTTTCCTTACAATGTTTTCCTTCACCATTCGTCAGTGGTGTCTTTGTACTTTCTTAGAATATTTGTGAAACAAGTGAATTTATTTCTGCAAATAGGCTACAAGGCAGCACTTTTACACGTCAATTTTTTCAAGCGAACGATGAGGTCGACGTTTCCTTACTGACTACTCTGAGAAGAAATGCCGAAACAAACTCAGAGGTCTGTCTCACACTCTATGTGTGAGAACCGTGCAAGTTCTTTCTGTAGTGGCCTTTTGAGGAAAGAACCACAACAGTTTGAGCGGACCCGCTCTGAAGGTAGTACGCATGTGTCGGTTTACAATTAGCTCAATTAACAGGTGAGGCTGACTGATTCGACGAACAATACCAACCTAAAGAACATTTGCGTGGGTCGCACAAATACTCAAATTGTCATAATATGGGTAATTAGAAAAAAATGGCGAGGCAAAATCTCGCACGGTCCTAACACTAACAATTGTAAAATAAAAAGTAAATGTCAAGGTAGAAGAAAAAATAAAATTTTCAAATGAAAAACAATGTCACATTAAAGTAATAATGTCAAATTGCATATAAAAAGAAATGTAACTATGTTACTAACGTCAACATGACTTGTGTGGACATTACAGCAGTTTATTCCCAAGCCCGACTATCATCTAGGTAGTCTTTTATTTTATAAAAAGCTTTACCATAAAGTTTATCTTTAATGACTAAAAGTAACTGAACAACACAAGCGTCAAAAGTATATTGACACACGGCAACATTAAAAATATACTTTGTTAACCTAATTTTATCTTTACTGCTGTTTAGTGACTTTTGGTACAATGGTGTTCAGCGACATTTGGATTGATGGAGTACAGTGACTTTAGGAATACTAGTGCACAGATACTTCTGAAATAGTCGTGTGTAACGACTTTTGTAAATTTCTAGTGTACAGGCTATTTTGTTTCCCAGTTGCGACTATAACTTATGGCACTTTATTGTGAACAGGTGTTTTGTAATGTTGATTCTGTTTATCGACTTTTGGTGCTGACTGTACATTATAATGAGAATGCATACCTGTTCAAGCTCTGACAGCTGAGCAACATCTTCTGGGCTCATCTGTTCTACAAATAGCAATGTTAAAGTGACGCTTTATTCCGTGTTCACCATAACACATTACTTTCTGATAGTGAACACTATTAGGTGGTACGTCAGGCTGTGGTTTTATAGTTCTGACTCTTGTACAGTCTCTCAGTCAGCATGGAACACGATCTTCATCATGGGAAGTAAGCTGAAATAAGTAATATTATTAGAATGTGATATTGACTTTAGATTACACTGTAAATGATAATAGTATGGTTAAATTATGCTTATTACCACTTATGGCTGAATCCAATCAGATACTATATGAGCCAGTCTTTACTCCTGTTCGTTGGCGCCTTCGACTTCGACTTTCACTAGGTACTTACATCTCTAGGATAAGTCCACAATGAGATATTGTTAACTACATCTAATCTTCACTCTCATTTCCTAGAGCATGCCGTCTCTTGCGCGACAAACTCTGGTTGCAATTAAGGCACTGTAAATACGTCATCGCGATAAATTACAACACACTATGCACAAATGTAAATAAGTGTATTTTCGTAATTGTCACAACAATGATGCCAATAACACCAATTTGGGCTACGGAGGAACGGCTACCAAACTCAACGTATCACCAGATGAATAAAATGATTTCAAATTGCACAAACACATCTTATAACCGCATTTGAAATAAATAGCAAAGCGCCAGTATTAATAAATAATTTGTCAATACAATTAAATAGTAATTGTCATCAAAACAAATACCAGTTCAACATTGCCATATTCGTAGATTAGATTAGACGTAGATTTAGATTAGATAAATATTTTTTATTATTAAAAAAAAAATATTCATGATTAAGACGTCCACTTCTCATGCATTCGAAACCTACCAACGGCAAGTACCAATGTGACTATTTTCGAGTTATATGTACTTTCTAAAATTATTTAGACACCACTGACAAACGGTGAAGGAAAAACATTGTGAGGAAACCTGGACTTATAATTTCTAATTATAAGTTTGAAATCGCCAATCCGCATTGAGCAAGCGTGGTGATTAATGTTCAAACCTTCTCCGTGTGAGAAGAGGCTTTGCTCAGCAGTATGCATTTATAGGCTGTTGATGAATCATGAATATTTTTTAAAAAAAGTACTAAGTCGTTTGTTTAATTACAAGGAAAAGTTAACATTTGATTATTACTGTGAAATTTAAAATCAAAATTCCCAATTTAGTTTAGATCTCTTCCCCTTGAACTAACTTTATTTAGGTGTAACAGGGGCACGAGGTAGCGGTAAAGGACGCGGTAACGCATCAACGCTGCCCTACGTGATACCGTGCACGAGCACAGACACGGGTCAAACATCAGATAGCTCAGACGGCACCTCCGACGACAAGAGAGGCGAAGGTGGAAAGGTAAAAATACAATGCAATGTTTTCTAATTTGAAACGATGTTGTCTGAGTGTAACAGAAGGCTTAGTTTGCTTTTGCTATTTACTCTATTATTAAATAGTATTAAATAAATACTTGAACTAACTTAACATACTCATAAACCCAATTTTCGTCCGAAGGCTGGACAGAGAGTCCTCCGTTCTCATAGGACAAATGACGGGGATAAAGATAAGGAGAGGACATCCCCTCAGACAGGGAATGACAGCCGCTCCGGGGCGGGACAGGCTCAAGCTAATTTAAATTCGAACAAAAGTCCTACACCTTCGGGCTCTGTAAGTAAATGAGTAGTTCAACAATTTAACAGCATTTAATACATAAAATAACTTACTACTTTTGTAAAAATATTTTATATATCTAAGGGTTACATTTATACTTGAAAACAAATTTTAAATACTTGGGTCTTCATTTTAGGGGCAAGATCATGAGCATTCCTCAAACTCTGGAAGATCTGAATGTAAGTGTATACATTATCATAGTGTGAATCAATTAATTAAGTATGTAGAACAAAAATAACCTAGTTTTAAAAACATGAGATTGTATCATTTTAGAAATACATGATTTCGTTACAGTACAGCATAATATGACCTACTCCTATTGTATCTTAGGTCCAAATAGTTTATTACAATAGCGCAATTTTGGTCTGTTTTAGCTAACTCGGGCCATGTCGAGTTGCATCCCAGGAAAAGAAAGATTAAGGCTTCAAAAGATGGTCACTCTCGAGATCAATCAAAAAATGAGCAAAATCACGAGTCTACTGCAAGCCATAATATTACGCACTCTAATCCTTATCAGATGTATATCCACATAAGAAAACAGGTTTGTAATGAAGACATTCCTTTTCGGTAAAAAATTAACAAAATAATTAAAAACTTGAATATAAATAACGCCCTACAATTATTTACAGATCGATCGGCGACAAAGAAGTCTATTTCCGGTGAAACCAAAACCTCCAAAAGATTTTAACAAATATTTAATGAATAGGTGTACCTACACTCTTCAGAGTAATGTAAACCCTGATCCACAGGTGGAAATTCCACACAATTTACCTACGCAGATGATAAACGAGTTTATGGCCCAAGAAAAGGAGAGGTGCGTTCATATTTATCTTAATATCTATTATATTTATATATTTTATAAGAATATGAACTTCAAGTAGTAAAATGTTTAATTTTTAACAGAACAAGATTACGGATTCAACATCTTATTGAAAAGGAAAAGTTGGTATTGGCTGTTGAACAAGAAATATTACGAGTACACGGGCGCGCTGAGCGTGCAGTGGCAAACCAGGTAAAACAATATTAACGTTAAACAAGACCTTTTGATGATGGTCCTTTTTCTCCAATTTCCAATTTTTTAAGGGCTTACCTTTTTTCCGACAGTCTCTACCGTTCTCCGTGTGTACGATACTTCGAGACAAAGAAGTCTACAATGTGTTAGCTCCAGATCAGGAAGAGAAACGCAATGCGCAGCGCTCCCGCTGTAACGGCAGGCAAATAAACTCGTGGCTTCAAGAAGTAGACGATAAATGGGAAAAAATAAAGGTAACATATTACTTCATTTTTTCCTGTGTTATATGTATGTACGTACTTGTAATTAATAATCTTAACGTATTCCAATTTCCAATATTGCAGGAGGGAATGCTTCGACGTCAACACACGGAAGCTCAAACTCTGCATGCTGTGCAAATAATGGGATGGGAGTGGAAATTAAAAGAATGTGGTATTTGTGATTACAAAACCACGCCCAAGATTGATCCGGTACACGTTCCGCAGATACACGTGTCAAATTTTGACTTGCCCGCTTGAATTTAAGTTCATATTGCCTGTGTTCATGTCACGTCATCACGTTCATATTGTATTGTACGTAAATACCTCATTTATTGCTATGTTGGCCACTGAATCTTGAAAGGACTTTAGATTGAAGGTTATCTTATTCCTAAAATACTAAAGCATTAACACCGCCAGCAGAAGGTAGAACTTAAAAGCACTAATCGCGGAAAAATATTCAACTTCTAAAAATAACACAGTACAAGTTATAATTAATAACTTGACTTAATAAATGATCAATAAAATGCCTTGCAGAGGGCCGATAACCGGCATAGTTCTTGGGTTAAATTGTGGAGACCACGCTGCGCTTAGCCACACACGGGTGTCCCACGTTGTACACGACGTTAAGTACTGTAAATGGATCATTTTACTGAAAGAAGAATTGATTTTATTTTTAAAACAAATCGAACTACATTCATAGTTTTGTAAATAATTGATTGAACCGAGAATCAAACCTGTTATAGAAGAAAGAAACTATTGGCTTTATCATACTAACGGGTACCTTCCTATGGGCATGACAGGTAGACAATATTTCTTTTTCTTGCATATCAGATTTAATTCCTGGTTCAATTTTATTGGGCAATTCATAATATCTTTGAGTGCAGTTCAATGTGTTTTTATAAAATATAGTTTTCGTATAGGGGCATTGCACATCTTCATCATTGAGATATGTGGTCTTCATTATTGAGATATGTGGTATGTGTGGGACACCTGTCTAAGGAACAATATCTCAGGTCTAATCAGATCATGAAAACTATCGAGTGAACAAGTTGTTCCTGGATTCAGCGGCCATTTAAGAGAATAAAGTATTTACTTACCAATCATAACGTGTTGGCATAAATTAGTGTGTAGTTAATTTTTTAATTATCTATGAAATTATAACATCAATTGGTAATAAGAATCAAGCGGAGCTACAAAATTGGATTATAAATCTCTAAATTGATCAACATTATGTTGAACCTTCTATTCTCCCGCGCATCTTCGGTAACTTGTTATTTATTCTCTTCTACGAAAATATCAACACCTATAGTAAAAATAACCTGTTATCGGGAGATGTCAAAATCTAAAATTTTATTTTTTTAAAGCTATCAAGGACATAGAATGTTATAAATTTATTTTTGAATTGTCCTTGCCTACTAAATGAATGAAGGTGTTCTTTCACACTCAGTTGATACATTGCGTGCGGTTTGTGGAATTGTATCTGCTGTGTGTGTTACACCTGAGATGTGAGAGAATGAGTGTGTGTATATTTACAAATTATTTTGGATTATATTATTTTATGACTATGATTTAGATTTAGTATTTTATTTTAATAGGATTATAAATTTGACATTCATTTATAAAATTACAGTAATGTTTTTCAGGACGATAATTTATAAGTTTGTAGATTTTAGTTTAAATTAATGTTTTTATTTGAAAAGTTAAGGTTGCATATATTATGTATAAATTTTATTAGGAATAGAAACTTGTAAAACAATTAAAATCATTCTTGATTTATATTTAAGTTAAATAAAATTGATCTTAAGTTAAATAATATTTTAAATAATATCAATATTGATTATTTTATCTTTACATGGTTTCCTATTGACATTTTATTATCATTAGCCTAAGTCACTAATTGTTCAATATGTATTTGTGGCATTCACATGTAGTATCAGCTTGAAGTTACCTGTCGCCACATAATGCAATACGCCCGTAGTGCAAAAGGGTTATTATGTATCATAATTCTCTTATGCACTAGCATTTGACAGCCTAGGCGGTTTTTGCCGCATGATGCGGTTGTATATTACATTGGAAAAGTTATAAACCGCGGGGACCGGCTAGCCGCGCGGTCCATCGCTAGTGCGTAAGGGAGATTATGATTCAAATTACAGTGCAGTAGTACAAGTTCGCATTATAGTGTTATTTGTATACTAGATATTGTCAAAAACGTATTCTTTAAAATAGTTCACCATTCAATATTCCACATAAATATCCTACTACACTTTGACAATGGCTACATTTTAAATTTTTAACTGTTTAAGTATTATAAATTTCAATTATCTTCAATAAACTTACAAGTTCAATTAGATCTCAATCAACTAAACCTGTTTTTTATTTAATCTTTTATATTTACATATACACCCTCGGAATTTTATACACTTCACCTGGCATCTTGCCCCGGTTGAGTAAATGTTGCGGCATCGGTTATAATATAAACCACCATATAAAATACTTATTTAATCATTGAAGTCAATATGGGAGTACTATTTTGCGGGTCTAGTAGTTCCAAGTGCGACTGTTGAGTAAGATAGGACTGGTGGGAATCCCGAAACAGGCAAAATATTGGGTTATTTTATTAAGATCTTCAATAATATAACAGACTGAACATAATTAACCGGTTTATGTTCAGTCTTGTATAGTTCTCAGGTGGTGGAAACTGGATGTAGGTGTAATATAGTAATATGCGATTGTACTCTTCTGCTCAGCCTTTCGGGGCATGCTTAGCAGTTAGAAGGCATGACTTTGTCATTGCGGGTGTTTATGATCGGCCCTGATTGCTTACCATTAGGTGTTGATGATAGTCTGTTTAGTTGCATATTATCTCAAAAAAGGTCTATGAAAAAGAAACACTGACAATTAGATTAAACTTTATACCGTAAAATGGGGTGAATAGGGAACGAGAGGTGAATAGGGACAAGAGGAATGAATAGATATAAAGGTCGCTTCATAGTATCGATTCACCCCTCTTCTGTCCCTTTTCGCCGCTCAAACCTTATTCACTCCATTTTATAACGGTAAAATAGAGATAGAGAGGTAGACACCCGAATACTGAAAGGCTAGGTACTCAATTTTAAGTTGAATTTAACCCGTCGTGTCTCTAAACGTGAATCCACGCGAGACACAATGTATTTTCTATTGTGTCTTATATACGCCTTATCTTCAGTGATGTAATAACTAGGGAATTATAAATCATAAATTAAACCGATACAACACAATAAAATATATTTATTGATTCTCTAGGTAACAACTGACTAACATTAAAAAATACTATTATACAATTTACGAGTATCTAACTATGTAGGTATATAAAATTACAGTTACGACATAACATAGACAAAACCTAATTTTGGCATTTTGTATTAACGAAGTTCAGTTTAAATGCATTATGTGTAGTTCTTTTGTTATGGTGCCTTTACATGGTGATTTTTTTTACAAGATTTCATAATGTATTCTGGAAAATATTTAATTACAATTCTATCCAAGAATAAAAATAAAATCAAATGATATCAACATTTTAGAACAGTAGTAATGGAAGGAGCATCCTCAAAAGGTCTATTTAGTTGCAACAGAGATAATGTATTGTAAATAGTGTAATTTTTAATTATTGCACATTCACTATGGTACTGCTATAATAAAATGTCGCCGTGTGTTACAACACAGGATTTTTTTCCATGAACTGACACATACCATCAATGCCATACATAACAACAAAAATAACTAAAAATACATTTGACTTAACTAAACGTAACATTTATAGTAAAGGTAATTTCCTAATAAAACTTCGATGCCACATAAATGCCGTGGCTAATGATAATGAATACCAAGTCACAACATAAGAAAGATGTTCATTCCTCAAAGTCACTCTTGTCTGATTAGGGATAGGCCAACCTTCTGGCGGATCTGGTATACCTCGAGCATCCAGCCAAACGGGAGCACACCCCAGGTACTCACTCATTTGTTCCAGGTCTCTGCAAAAATTAAATGATTTATTGGAGTTGTAATTGCTATTAATGCTATATTATTATCTTTATCATTCACGGGACCACAGGATCCCGGTCATTTGGGAGGCGTACGAGGGGCCGTAGCAAACTGCGCAGAGGCCCTTTAGACATCTTTAATCTAAGTGTAATGCACACAAAAAACCGGCGACTATCCCTGTATGCACTATGGAAATGCACCCAAGAATAATGGAAAAAATAAAGGTAGGGCTATGGATGGATTGCTATGGACTGGTAAATTGGGAACTATGGATGACTATGGCACCTGCCAAAACTATGTCGTAAAAATGGCAGGCGGAGACTCGCCAATTCACCGACCGGGCCCCGGGAATGGTTGCTAGATATAGCAACATAGGGAAAACGAGAATGTGAGTGGCTGAAGGGTTAAGAAACGACCACCGCTTTCTACTCAAATCATCTACTCCAGCCGAAGCCTCCTGCATCCCGGGCCCACTCGCGACTTACGAATAGTTTCTTACCCTCCGAGCAGGATCACTGCTCTCGCAACTTCAGTCTGGACGGCCAATGAAGGCAAGCCAGAGAGGGGGGAGACCTGTTTCTCGTCATCGTTCACTCCAGCCAGCCAATTAAGGCAAGCAGGAGAGTAAGGAACGGTGATTTCCCCCTGGAGGACTTGGGATGCTGGTAGCCCGCGGGGTCGCTAATGCCCGTCATCTCGCCTCAAGTATATTAAAGTAAAAGTTAAAGGTAGTATTATTTATTATTATTAAACTTATTATTAATTAGCGACCCGCTCCGGACTCGCAAGGGTGCAATATGCATATCATATAAACCTTCCTTTTTTTGAGGGGGGAAAAATCATCCAATGTTTTTTCCCGCTCGGGTGAGGCAAGAGGGAGTGTCAGACTCTTACTGACTAAAAACTACCCCCGTTCCTAATCCTGCGCTTTGAGCCGGAGCCGCTGCTTTGTATCGACATCAGTCCTGTTGGTCTGATGACCCCATCTGTGGTGGTCTGATGGCTCCTTGAGGTGCGCGCGGAACCTCGGGCCTGATTATTCACGGGCGGCGAGTCATCCGTCCTCGACGCCCGGAGTGTCTCTTGCGACGGCTGGGGCGTGAGGAGGTTCGTTCCCTCACGCGCCCCGCTTCCTCCTTAGCTAGCATGACTGCTTGGCAGAAGGAGGAGACGGCATCCCAGTCCCCCTCGCTCCGTACCAGAGCCGGACGCAGGGCACACTGCCACCGTAAGCTCCACCGTGTATTCCGGGCGGTCCCCGCAGTGATGACACCCGGGCGTTTCCTCTCGCCCAATTCGAAACAGGAACCTACCGAAAATTCCGTGTCCGGTAAGCAACTGCGTCAGGCGGAGGTGAGGAGGCCGTAGCGTTTTTCAAGCTACTCCTTAAAGAGGGGACTTACCGCTGCAAAGACAGCGAGCCCAATATAAAACTTCCTTAAGAATCACTATACCTATTAAAAAAACCGCATCAAAATCCGTTGCGTAATTTAAAAGATCTCAGCATACATGAGGACAAACAGACTGCAAAGTGCAAGATAGCGACTTTGTTTTATACTATGTTGTGATGCTAGGAAAATAATTAAAATAATGTAATAAAACTGAGAGTTAATTATATATAAACTGCAAAAATCGCCTTACTGGGTTGTAGGTTTAAGAGGGCAAATGCCAAGTGCTCCATGAATATACTGACACCCAGTGTTGTGTGTCAAAACAGAATGTAGCTGACATTGATAAAAAATTCCAATACTATTACCCAAATGATCTGGGATGAAAATGTTAATCTTACCTACAAAACCATGAGCCCTTTTCTGGATTGTTCTTTGGCATAAATGGTGCCCGTTTTTCCGTTAGTCGCACGATGCCGACTATCTCAACATCTCCCTTCACCATAGATGGTTCTCGTTTTTCTTTAGCTCGTATATTTTGGTGAACCCAGCCGCGGTTGATTAGTATTATCTCTCTGAGGACAACATCATAGTATAAAGAACAAAGTAGGTTATCTTCATACAAATGCTCCGCGCGCGGCTTATATGTGTGCGCCATAGTATCTATGCGTCGACGCACGCACACTTTAACAAAATCTCGACCCGTTTCTCAGTGCGCCAGGCAGGGCTAACACTGCACGAGGTTCGCGCGCGCATCACTTTTCGGCACTGTTAAATGAAATAAAAAATGTCTGATAATCGTAGAAGAACGTATTGCTGTGTGTTTGGGTGTCTTAATAATTAATCGATTCCAGAACTGTCTCTGTTCAGATTACCTATTGAACAGGAAAGGTAAGCTAGTCACTTTTTCTAGCATAATATAATTTGTAGGTACTTGATGATGAGATACCTACTTACTTATTCTTACTCTTATCATTCTTCATAGTTCCTATTCAACCAGAAATGTAATTACCTACTATACTTAAATATTATAAGAAAATGTGGTATTGTATTGTTTATTTCACAGTTTATCTGATTTGTTAAGAGCGTGGCCGTGTCGCATTTTTCCATATAAATGTATTCCCAAATTTACTTTCTGAATACTATGTATAGAGCTAAAGTTTATTTTAAGAAGTTAATAATCTTTTTATTAGCTTTTTATTTTTACTAAATTTATAAATTGATAAAATATTCAATCATAATATGCTTTTCATTTCATAAATTTAGATCAAGTGTTTCTTGTTCGAAAATATTAACTAAAAGTAAAAGTGACAACCCTGGGGATCAACGCAAGAGTAGGCTAATAACTCGGCGGGCGGCCTTAGATAACCTACTGTGTTCTTTATACTATGACAACATTCAAAACTTATAGTTAATATATGTCTCTAAACAGTAATTATATAACAATTAAACAAGTACCAATGTGGCTTTTTCCAAGTTAAATGTACTTTTACTAAGATTATCTAGACTGTCATATGATAAAGGAAAACATAGTGAGGAAACCTGGGCTTATAATTTCTAATTATAAGATTGTAATCGCCAACCCGTATTGAGCAAATGTGGTGATTAATGCTCAAACATTGTGAAACAGTAATTATTAAAAGAAATAGACTTTGGAAGCTATAGCTTTCAAAGACTTTTAAAGCTTTCCTACATTAGTAAATAAATTTGATCTCACGAGGGTTCCTTACATTAAGCGTGAATGTGCATCTGAACATTGTTTAATAATATTATGATATTTAGATTAGATGTTGCTGTTTGGGTTCTAAGTAAAAAAATCTTACCCTGTTTCAGCCATCTTGAATGGAGTTATTACCAACCATCCTTGATTCCGTTTGGGATCCGACACTAAGGAGCCTGTTCTTGGGAAAGGTGAATCTGGCTCAATCAGTGCTCTTGGTCCAATAAGAATTTCTTTATCATGAAGAAATTGACCTTTGACTTTTACAGGCATGTATTCCATATTGTCCAGCTTGGAATAGCTGTAACATAATGTTTCCAAATTAAAATTAACACAAGCAATGCCTCCTGCTTTCCATACATGAGGCCATAAAAGCACAATAAAACACTAAATGAATCAAGATGTCGCTGTCGCATATAGTAAGCAAAAAGTGTTTCATTCGGTGATTAATTTTCAAAATCTAAGTACCTAACAGTTTAAAAGTAGCAAGAGGCTAGTCTTAAAATGGAGTTTTAAGACTTGTATTATGTGACTTCTAAATAAGCAATGCATAGCTAGAAATCACCAATGGAAACCTTTATGATATATAAATAAATTTCTTTATGGGCACTAAGAAAGAATTAGCAAACTGTACATTAACTATTTATAACAAAATGTATACTTCGGTAGTACTTTCACTTTATTTTGTTTTTACTGTAAACCTTTAGCTAAATCTTTCATAAAGAAACAATATTACTTATAAAATGTTAAATAACTTAGAAATGGCAAGCTTTTAAATGTAAGCAATGGGGCAGAATTGATGTGAATAGCAACTCCTTAAAGGATTGAAATTGACTTATATTCCTGTATACTAATAAATATCAAGATACAATTTCATGATAGACAATACATAAAACATAATACTAACTCGCTGGGCATGGGTACAGGTGTCGCATTAGTTTTAGATTGCATCATTTCAATGAGCCCAAGTTTCCATTGAAGTCGGTACACTTGCCAGCAGCCTAACCCAAATGAGCCAACTGGAAGCATCTAAAATCAAATAGCACAGCTAGTGTCCTACTCTAACTATAATTAAATTCAATATGGTATCCTACTTCTGTCAGAAATCACAATTTGTTTGTTACTCAGACACGCTAAAAGAGATTCTGAACAAAATGTAAAAGTTGTAATCAAGTTTCACAGTATAGTTTTTTTTCAATTTTTGAAAGTAAATGGTTCATGTAGTATTGAAGAGCCTGCTCCTCAGGTTTATTATGTAAACCACAATAAAGAAAAATTGGTAAGCATCAGACTAATAAAAAGTTCAATCAAATACTTGTATTGGTAAAAACAACAATTTTAAATTAAAGTAGGTTTAAGGTCAAAATACAGTTCTTATAATACGTGTAAGTAACTACATACCAATAATATCCATTTGAAAACCTGGCCGTGTTCTTTTTTAGGCCTAACTTTCTGCTGAGCTCGAAAAGCATTGGCCACTGTACTGTTAAATCGTATCATCGTCCTAACCTTTACAGAAATATTTAGGCTGTGATAATTATTTATTAAATGATGCGTACGCATCACCATGTGTCTAACCATAGTAATCATTTTTAATACTTGTTAAATAATCAGAATAATAAAAACAAAGTTTTAGTCTCAGCTTGCTTGACTTGAAGTTGAAGCAAAAGCAAGCAAGGTAAATTGACTAAATTGGTGAAATATTGACATTAGTGATGTACCGCCAAATGTCATTGTCATGAACATCTGACTGAAGGATGTTCTACGACTTGCGCGTGGTAAAAAATCTGTAGGTATTCTGTTGATAGTGTTTAGAGGTTTGAAGTTGAAGGATGCACTAAATTATTATTTTATTTAAAATGTATAGAATAGACACCACAATTCTTTCCAGCTGGAAAAAAACATTCTTTTCTTATCATTTCATTTGTTCCATAACGATAGGTAGGTTCCTAGGTACCTACTGAAGTTAACTGTATGGTTCAGCATCGGCACGGTTGTGGACAGCGGCCGGGGTAACGAACTGCTACGCATCATGTCACGGGTTTGATTCTCGCATAGAACTAGGAAGGCTTAGGTTTTTTTTGTGTGCCCTACAAATCGTTGTTGCTTGTCTGGATATGAAGTGTAGGTATATGAAACGAAATTATATGTTTGTAACCACGATACAGCAAGAGAACAACCTAGTCTGGGGCAAGGTTTTCTTTTTAACATGAACAGTTTGGGAACTTTAAAATAAGTGTAAATGTCAATAGCTTTACCCGTTTCGAAAAACTGAATTCCTATTTGGTTTAACTGATCCTGGAGTACCAACTCATTAAAATAAAAACTTCTTTGTTTTTATCACGCTAAGAAACTTTTAGATAAAATATTATGGTTTAGGGGTGGTTGGTGAAAATGGCCCCTAGTGGTCTTGTTAGAATTCCATAGTAGCGTTGTTACACCTTCTAGTTTTATAATCATAGCCATAGTATAAAGTTTTCGTTATACTATGTCATAGCCATGCATATTGTTTAATTATACCGTCATATTAACTTATATCGTTGACGACTGCGTTATGCTATACTGTCAAATTAAAATTCCAAGTTTGTCAAAGGTCTTTTTTTTTAAGGGGGGAAAATCATCGAATGACTGCTCCCACCTGGGTGAGGCGAGAGGGAGTGTCAGACTCTTACTGACTAAAAACCACCCCGTTTCTTCTCCTGCACGTCGAGCCGAAACCCCCGGTTACCTGTTAGGTTGTAGATCTTCTTGGTTTGACTGAGCTGGTTTCCCAATCAAAACACACGTAAACTCGGCGACACTAATTACTGCGCCGGCGCCTCCACACATCGATACAACTATCTATAGGTCTTAATCTATGAAATTGCAGTTCTGCAATACTGGCAATTTCAAATAAATTTGTTCTAATTTCACATTCATTCTATTTTAAAAATATGGAACTTTTTTCCAAAGGTAGTCATTTCTTTAGGTATTTGTTATTGTTACATTTTCATTGCATTTCAATCTTTTTCGTCACACAATATTAATTGTCCATTTGCTTCAAATTGGTAAGGTAAAAATGCTTGACAAATGGGTGCCCCACGAACTCAACGATCGCCAGCGTGAAACACCTACGCGTAGAAACGTGCACTGCTCAACAAACACAGAAATTAAGGAATTTTGAGCCACTTTATTACCTGCGATATAAAATGAATTCTGTTTGATAACCGCAACCGGTTAGCAAGTTGGTTGGATCCTGGTTCAGTACCTAAACAATGCCCTAAACGAAAACTTACCCCTAGAAAAGTGATGGTTACTTTTTGGTGGTCTAGTGCCGGTGTCGTAGTAGTATTGGTTAATCACTCGTCTCCGCTGCTCCTACACGACAACGCGCGACCTCATACTGTACAGCAAACGATCCCCAAGTTGCAAGAACAAGAAGCTCTCCGTCATCCGCCCTACTCACCAGACGTTGCGACCTAGACCTACAGACTACTACTTTTTCCAGAATTTGGATAACTTCTTGGCGGGAAAAAAATTCTATTCCAAAAAAATAATTCCAATACCATGAATACCAGTTAGGTACTATACTAGTTTGTTTTTGTTCGCATTACTTAACAATTATGAAATTTATCCCTGTATAAATAAGATTTACAATGATCGGCTAAGTAAAATAAATTCAACCGATATAATATATTATTTATGTTTCCACCAAAGTAATTCGTTTACTATAATCAGTCCTATTAGACCGCATACACAATCTTCGATGACCTATTAAAATACATTTTTTAATTCTTATGTTCAACGCTGACTTTCTGCAACGTAAACCAGCAGAATGAAGCTGATATCACAGATTCAGCAGCATAGACGCGCGTTGAGAAGAAAATATCGGAAGTAATACGAATTAACCTTGCGTTCGTGTCACGATGTTGTGGTTGGATTTATTTTATTGCTTCTATACTCCATGTTTCCGGAATCCTCATATCGGCCGACCCATAGCGCACTTCTTGTTTCTCCTCTGTGGATACAAAACAGTACCTATTCGAAATACCTCTAGTGATAAAAGTATTATCATTATACATATAATACAATAAATGTACCTATACGTAACATAACATAACAGCACGCTTTTTTCTCCCCGAAAAGGTAGGCAGAGGTGCACATTATATGGCACTTAATGCTACTGTACAATGTAACACCCACTTTTCAATAGTGAAAAGTGGGTGTTACATTGTACCTCCCATGTAATAGGGGGTGAGCCTATTGCCATATACCGGGCACAATTTCAGAGTCCGTGCTACCACTGATACGTTGATACGTTGCCCGACCCGGTAATTGAACTCGAGACCCCTTGCCCGGCAGTCGCACTTGCGACCACTCGGCCAACAAGGCAATCATTGTTCTACTGACTGCCTACTAGTATACCTACTTATTAATCATAAATGAAATCGATGGTATTAATCTACTTCTTATTTATTTTTTCGAACCTTTAACTTAGGTAGTATACCTAAGTAATTAAAATAGGCTAGACCAAATGAGTCAATTAAATAATATTAATTGATTTTACCTACTACATATACTATGTACCTATAATAAAAATAACTTTATATATTTACTTTACATAGATTTACTTAAGTTATATATTTTAGTATCTATATATATGTATATATATAAAGTTTTTTGTTCATCGTGTACAAAAATGAAATGGTCGACAGAACGGGTCATCTGCTAGCACATCAGGCCTCTTAACACCTCATGCCCTGTGAATTTGTTTTTATCAACGTTTTATTGTTTTACGGAAAGAATACCCACATTTCAAACAAATACAAATTTAAAAAAAATCGTTATTCTTTTACACTCCGTAGACTCTAAATTTTAATTTTATTTTGATGATTTTTCAAAAGTACTTTAAATATAAATAAACCTTTATAACCTATGTATGTACCTACCTCCGTTTTGTTGGAATATTTTTTTCTGTGTATTGTCTGTGTTGTGTACATGAATAAATAAATAAATAAATTAGTGACATTAATCACCTAGTTTTGTTTTAATTAACTCGCAAAGGTAAGGTGATCTAAATTAAAACTGTTACATATTGCAGCTGTTCATCTGGCTACAAAAAGAAAACCAATAGGGACCAGGATCTTCCAACTTCCTATTACTTCTCCAGTCTACCCTTATAGGTACTATTAGCAAGAGCTAATGAGTGCAAATGCCATAAAAATGTTTTGTCAACTTTGTAAATTTAATAAGAATTGTGAATTAACTCACATTGGACTACATAACAAATTCTAATGAAAACATTTTATTGAGAAACTGTTACTTGAGAAAGAAGTTGTTTTCTCACTCTTGCGCAGTACAATCCAGCTTTTATCTCTTTCTTGCATACCTTAAATCGAGTTGACTATTTAGGGAACGGACAGTAAAGTTCCTTAAGGAAGGGAAGATCCATCGACTAGACGGCGAGCATGGGTGACTCGGCGCCCGACCAGAACCAGACCCGAGTACGCCTCAAAGAGCCTTCAGACAGAGATGGAGCCCAATAGGACTGATGCCAATACGGAGCCGCGGAGGACTTAACGGGTTGCCGGGGCTTCGGCTCGGAGGGCAGGAATAGGAACGGGGTGGTTTTTGTAATTCGATGATTTTGCCCCCTTAAAAAAAATCGACTATGCGAGGTGATCGTGGCTGGCGGGATTTCTGACCAACACTAAAACCAGTCCAGTTTTTTTAGTTACCTATAGCACCTAGTTACATTATGAACCTAGGTAATGCAAAATAATAATAAAAGTATCAGTATCGAACAATTCGTAATAGTATAGGTAAGTACTAGAGGTAGATACGTACACAAACGATAGAGGTTAAATAATTTTACACAGGTGTTACGAAGAATGAAATGTCTGTTTTACGATTATAAATACGAAAAATACAAATCTATGTGGCACTCGCGTTGGCACAGTTAGTAGACACGTAGCAACACAAGACTTTTGTAGATAACACTCGAGTGATGGCGGGTATCGATAAAATATTATATCGATTATACTACCTACGCAAGCAACGATTAGGTACTGTAAGCATTCTGGTTTAGCTTTGATTTGGTTATTCACCTTTACAAAATGCTAATGAACAGCATAATCATGTTTTGTTAAACATGTTGTGGTAGCTAGTAGCTAACAACTACGTAGATTAGGTATGTTACGAGTACCTATAATAATACAATCCTTACTATATTTATTATATATATCATATATCCTTATCCTTACTTATATTATATTCAACTTTAACGCCGTAACTACTAAACCGATTGCTTTGAATTTTTGCAGACGTACCTATAGTTAGAAGTCCGGATTAAATAATAGGGTACTTTTTATCCCGGAAAAATTTGATATTCCCGAGGGAAAACAAAAGTATTGGTATAGATGGCGCTGTGTGTATATGTCACATTGGCTTTTTTTATCCTTTTGTGACGCGAGCGAAGCCGCGGGTAAAAGCTAGTTTTTAATAAAACGCATATTCTTTACCGCATGCAACGGTGATTTAGGTAATAAAAGTATCATTATCACTTTATTTTCAACGATAAAAATATGTTGGATAATATATTTATTATTCAACATATTTCAAAATATGTTGGATAATATATTTATTATTCAACATATTTTTGTCTCGGAATGGACTCATAAATACGCAACTGATGAGTGTTAAGAAGAAGAGAATACGTCCTATATCCCTAAGAATACGTATTTATGAGAAGACCCTGTTCGACAGATTTACTCGTATAACGCATTGTGAGTAGGAACAGAATTTACAACTCTACTCCAATCTATAATAAAAATTATTAAGTATCTATAAATTATTATCGACACAGCTCATCACTGAAATGGACAGTCGGCAACATATTGTATAGTCTATGGTTCCAAATCATTTTTAGTGTTAATCATTGTGTCGGCAGTGCTCAGAAGCGACGTACACGCATTTTCGACATGGCCACCACAGCCGGCGGGAGCGAAACGGTAAATTCATAATTATATTTACTAACTTTATGATTTAATTATATTTACATTAAATATTAATTATATTTACTAACTTTTTAAATCTACAAACCTATATCTGTTCGAATGCGACAATTTTTGCTATGCGATTGTTTACTATATTTCATAGGTTTTATTGTACACCTAGAAACCTATAGGTAAGTTTAGGAAACGAAATATTTACAATAAATGTGTTGAAATTTTTATCTTTGGCTTCGAAATTTTTGTTCTTACAGATACTCTACTATATGTAAGCTTTGAGATAGCTACAGGTTGTTTAAGGTTTTTACGACTTTGTCCGAGATTCCTTCCTACCTTTATATTTGATTAATTTATTGTTTAGACAAATGTTTGTTTATTTTTTTTTAAACATTGCCCCACACTAGGATTTTGTCCTGTGTCGTGGGTGCGTTTACAAACATACAATTTCACATACACACACACCCCGACCCGAAACAACAATTTATGGATCACACAAAGTTTTGTTCCGTGCGGGAATCGAACCCGCGACACGTTGCACGGCAGCCGGTTGCCCAGCCACCGCACCAACCGTGCAGTCAAAGTTGCATAGAATACAAATAGCATAAAACCCATGGGAAATGAAATATTTGCAATAAATACGTAAAATATCATATTTTTGATCTTAGTTCATCAAATTTCTAAAGAAGCGGATGCCCTACGATATGTAGGTTTTGAAACAAGTTCTAAGTGGTCAAAATAAAGATTATGGACAAGCTTTTCGCCAACTATCTCACACTCCGAGGTGAAACCCTTATTTTCCTAGGCTAAAAGCCTATTTTTGGATTGAATTTTTGTTGTTTAAATTATATCGTTATTTATTATGTCTTATTTCAGTTTAAGAACAAACAATTTTGTTCTTGATATGTTTTGTCAATATATAATTGTGACACCTTGGGTTATACTGAGGTATCAAAAGAACCGAGTAACGTAATGATACAATAGTAACGAGTCCTCATTTTTATAGTAATTAATACGTCTACGGGTTTGCTTTTGAGACGTGTCGTGACGTGAGAGCGAAATGTTGAGATAAAGAATTTTATAAACGGAAAACTGTAGTTAACTTGCAGAAGAGCGCCGTTTCAAACTTTACTTAGCTACCTACATTTAACTAATTACATATGTACATATGTAGTGCAACAGTTAATAAATATAAATATTACGTAATAATTAAATAGGTACCTACCTATGTTAAAAATGATAAGTTATTGATTCTTTGTATCTAACAGCTGCCTAAGTGTAGGTACCTACTACGATATCAGGGATACATTTTTTCGTCGCATACGTATAACGCAAGTGATGATAACTGTAAACCAATGATGTCCGCAGTGGCTACAATGGCTGGTGCAGACCCATGATGCCAAACAGCTGTGGGAGGCGCAGCCCACGTATATACTGTCTCAAGCCGTCTACATATTAGCTGGAATTGTCACTCTTATACATGGTAAGTTTTATCTCTTTACTAGCTTTTATTTAGATTGTATGTTTTAATTCCAACGTGGAAAATGGTCATGCTTTGAGGCCTTGAGAACGCGTTATATCCTAGGCAATAAGTTTATATGAATATAGGTACAATATCCGTAGTCGGGTATTACATTGTAGCTAAAAGGTATTACTTTTCGTTACAGTTTAATAAATAAAGCTGAACGATAGCGCTGAGACTGAAACAAATGCGAAACGTTTTGTAATATAAAGATTGTGTGAGTGTTGGTGGTGGAATGGAATTTCGATTTATTTTTGTTAGTTAAAGCTAGGTATATTTGCAAAGTTAAACCTCCAAATTCATAAACTGGTCCATCCTCTTACCTATACCATCTATACTTAAAGTACATATTATGTACATAATATAGTAATATACCTATTATACCATGTCCCCACTAACTGACCAAACCCAAGTTACTTTGATTGTGTGGGTTTAAAAAATGACGAAGCTTTTCGAGATGCTAAATCGTGGTAGTGGTAGATCAGTGACCTTGCTCCTTATTTGGATTGTCTTGGCGAATATATAACTTTCATGCGTTTTTACGTTTTGAGTTATTTGATATTTATATATCATGAAAACTACAAGGTTAAAAATATGCTTGTGTTAACAAAGTTCAAAATACCTAAGAACTTAAACCTAATTTCTGTTCTAATCCAATCTCATATTATTATTTAAAAAAATGTTTCTTATATATTTATTTACTTACAATATTCCTTCGTTAGGGCCACGGATTTTTTTAGTTGTCGTTAGTAGTTAGTAGATACTAACACATTTTATGTTTTTGACTTAGGTTTTATTTCTTAGTGATTTCAGCTTCATCTAACACTAGATGTTGCCCACGACTTCGTCCGCGTAGAAAAATGATTTCTGATAGAATTCATCAAAATCAATTCAGTGCCTGGAAAATTATATATCGTGGTTTCAAAAAATAAATAATCCCACAGGGATCTTACCAATACAGGGCTTGTTTCCGTCCTCCGCTTTTAAATAAATCTATTCTATCGACTTTGTTGTACCAAAACTCTCTATAATAAGTTCAGTGGTTATGAAATAGAGAGTCTCGCGGCTTTAACGCATAGTTCCCGTTCTCGTGGTACTTCTGTGATAAAAACTATCATACATCGTGTCCCAGGTCTCAAATTATCGTTTTACCGAATATAACTCAAAAAGTTTTAATTATTCTAGATTTAATAGGTTCAATAGCTAAGACGATTTATACACACTCTCATCTCCTATTTTATCCCCTAAGGAGTGGAATTCATCGAAATACTTTCTTAGGAGATACTTATGTCATAGTAACTTTATGCATGCAAAGTCTCAGCCCGATCGGTTTTACAGACAAGGTTTCATACAAAGTTTCATACCCTATTTTACCTAATTGGGGGTAGAAATATTCAAAATCCTTTCTTAAGGGACATTTACGTCATAACATCTACCTGCTTGCCGAATTTCAACCCAAACGGTGTAAAACTTACAAAGTTTCGTAGAAACTCTCATCCCCTATTTTACCCCATTGGGGGTGGTGAATAATTAAAACCCTTTCTAAGGGGCTGCTTGAGTCATAACATCTACCTGCACGCAGAAATTCAACCGGATCGGTTTAAAAGTGACAAAGTTACATACAAACTTTCATTCCCTATTTTACCCCCTTGGGGGTGGAAATGATCAAAATCCTTTCTTAGCGGATGCCTACGTCATAACGGCTACCTACATGCAAAATTTCAGCCCCATCCGTCAAATGGTTGGGGCTGTGCGTTGATAGATCACTATGTCAGTCAGTCAAATATAGTTGTAGCACAATTTTGGGACAGATTTACTTTAACTTACACTAAAGAAAGCGTTTACATGGTACTGAGTAGAAATTTGTTTGCAGCTTTCAGTAAAGGCGGGAGATGGCCATACTTCTGGCTGGGTACGATCCTGCACGGTCTGTTTACCGACAACTTTTGGCATTTTGCACTGCCAGAGTATGATAACTTCTGGCACTCTCAGACACCCATCATCTTCTTGGGAGCCAGGCTACCTCTTCATATAATACTTTTATGTAAGTTCCGTTTCTAATAAAAACTATAATGTATTGATCAATGAATGATATGTTTATTTTATCTGCAATTGAGTCTTAAGATAATCCTGTACTCGATTAAATACATTTCAGATCCCGCATTTATTTACCACGCCGCCTACGCCGTGTCCAGATTGAATCTCCCAAAGTACAGTGAGCCTTTCGCAGTGGGTCTTGTAACAGTTCTGGTCGACATTCCTTATGATATTGTCGCCGTCAAGTTTGTCCACTGGACGTGGCATGACACCGACCCTAACATATACGACCGCCACTACTGGGTGCCCTGGAACTCTTACTACTTCCACGCTACATTTGCTGCCAGCTTCTTTTACTTCTTCCATGCGAGTAGATCTTGGTTCGCACCAAAAGTGACGCAGTGGGATGCAGCTGAGTAAGATATTAAAGTCATTAAACCTCACATAATCACCTATTAAAATATTTTTAATATTTGTAAATCGCTTGACATTTATGTACATAGTCGTAAACAATATTTTACCTTTGCATATTTTTTAGCAAAAAGGCTGAATGGAAGTCACTGTTGATCTCGTCTCTGCTGGGCATGCCTGGAGGAGTGCTCATGTTTATTCCTATCTACCACCCGCTGCATGACGTGTTCAAGATTCACTCAGAGGTGACCTTCTTCCTGCTGTTCTCTATCTTCGCCATGATCGTTCTATCTGGACTCCTGAGCGAAAGGCAGAAATGTAACAAGAAGTATGGTTTATTCTTTGTATCTTACAATAATAAAATGTCTAGTCGGTAGTTATTAACTAAAATTTGTTTATTTCCCAAGGTTGACAACCATCGACTACGTGATGATGGTGCAGCTGGCGGTCCACTACCTGCTATACCTGACCTTCACAATATTCTTTAACCCTGAACAGGAGCGCTCTCTTGGACTACACGAGCCAGTGGGACCGTGCAATGAAGTTGCAACCCTCACGACACCATTCGGACAAGTATGTTTGTTTTTGGATTAGAGTTCAATGTTAGACATTTCATAAAAGGAATTCATATTCCAATAACAACGCTAAAACCTCTCATATCATGTATTTTTCAATTTGAAAAATTTCTGATTTTTTTAATACATAATTATAACGATATAAAATTATGAATTTCACTCATGTGTTTCATCGTTAGTTATCATACTAAATCGTCGTGATTAAGATAAAGTTTGTGAGGATTCATTGGCACATATAACTAATTAACACTTGTTATTCTGCGTGTCAAAGATTACAGCTGATGTTGATAAGCCTATATCGTTTGCTATCAAAAGTATCATATTCAAATAATGAATGAATATACAATAGTTACAGCTATTAGCATTGGCTGATATAAACAAAAGATTTCTCGCAAAACTGCCGGTATAAACTAACATTCACACATTACCTAAACATAGTTTTTAATTGTCATTCAACTACGTTTCAAAAAAACAATTCAATCTCTTTCTAAATAACGTAATTTTTCTTCCAACCCCTTTAATTTTTTTTAAAATTTGATATAAAATCTGCTCTTAGCCTTAGTAAAAAAATTTAGTACTTTTCAGATAACAGCATCTAAATCTGTAACGAGTTGCGGTTTCGATTCCTTTACGGAACAACTCCTTGTGGAATATACAAATTGTTGTTTACGTTTAAAAAAAACTAGTTTACCTCTGGTGGTAGGAAGTGGCTACTGTACTTCTTTTGCATAAATAAAATAATTCCAAGTCACAACTTCCAGGTATTGGAGAAAAGGAAATACTTCTGTCCTACGGACTACAATGAAGATTACTTCGACTTCCATTGTGTCAAGGAGCTGCCGCGCAATGGTGCCACCTGGTATCTCATTTGTGGAACACCTTTTGAGTAAGTGTTGCTTTGAAAACACACAAATTAGTATTTTAATTAATTTCATCAGACGCAATTATTTAATACCATGAAATAAAATACTAAAAAGTTGCACTAACTGTTTATCACATCTAACTCGCGTAATTTGTTAAGGAAAATGGAAAATAAATCTATATTTTCCATTTTCTAGTACCAGTATCTACTGGTACTAGCTATTTCCCACTAGGTCATAGCGTGATGTTTTATAGCTAACCAAACAAGTAAACAAATAAACGTACAAATTATATTCATCCTATTTGTTCTTGTTGTACCTAACCCTGGATTACAAGGAATTAAATTTGACAAAATGTTATTTCAGAAACCGCGCTGAGTACATAACTGTGTTGACCACGATACTGGTGGTAGCCACCGGTGTGTTCTACGGTCTTTACTTCAAGACTGGTGGTGCTACTCCAGATGTTACCCCCAAGAAACTGAAGAAGAAGTAGTAATTTAATCTTCTTAAGGATAACGAATAAGGCTGTCATCAGACGGAATACACTGCAACAACTGCACGATGTCGGTATAGTCGAATGTAATATTTGAATTGAGAAAAAACGAAATAACAGTTGAAATCCGTTACATTCCACTTTAAACTGTTGTTTTAACTTTCTTTACTTCTTATTGCAGTATGTGCGTGTAAATTATTTTTATATTTTTTGTCTGATTAAATCCTCTAAGTTTATGTTAATACAATTATTAAACAATACTTATCAAAAATATACCTTTTGTTTTTTACTCAACTTTTTGTATTGATATCAATAAGTCTGCAAATAACAAAGAGTCCATAGATAGAGCATACAGCTAACAGCTCGAAGCTGTTTGTACAGATGTAAAAAGCACAATAACTATTCACATCGATCTCTGAATTCTGAATTCTAAATCTGACAAATATTTTCATGTGAAATGTTGCTAAGAGGAGAGATTACTTAGGTCATACCATCAAAAAGTCATCAGAATCTCATATAGAACCAACTTTACAGCCCTATATGGCGACCCTAAATCTATAAACCTAATTTTACACTTGAGTTGCTCCCTTAACTCGTCGAGTACCGGTTTTATAGACACAATTAAAGAACAATAGGTCGCGGTCACCGGTGACCGCTTGGTATTTGACAGTTTAATATGGTCGTAGTTTACAGCGTAGTACATATTTCGTAGCTCGTAGCGCATAGTTCTTATAATGTAGCTCGTATTACGTAGCTCGTAGCCCATAGGGCGTAACTCGTAGCACTTAGCTTGTAGTGCGTAGTACGTAGTGCGTAGCTCGTAGTTCGTAACGCGTAGCTCGTAGCTCGTAACTCGTAGCTCTTATCTCGTAGCGCGTAGTGCGTAGCTTATAGGTTGCATGGCTCTTAAAACGCAACTCGTAGAACGTTGTTCGGAGCTTGTAGCGCATAGTACATAACTCGTATGTATAGTGCATAGCATAGCGCATAGTGAATATGCCATTGCGCGTGCTTAGCTCGTAGCGCTGAGTGCGTAGCTCGTAGTGCGGAGTGCGTAGCTCGTAGCGCGGAGTGCGTAGCTCGTAGCGCGGAGTGCGTAGCTCGTAGTGCGTAGCTCGTAGGGCATCACTCGTGGCACTTAGCTAGTAGACCGTAGTGCTACGCATAGCTCATAGGTTGTAGCGTGGAGTGCATAGCTCTTAAAACGTAAATCGTAGAGCGTTGTTAGGAGCTCGTAGCGCATAGTACATAGCTCGTATGCATAGTGCATAGCTCGTACTGTATAGTTCTTTAAACGTAGCGCGTTGTGCACAAGTCATTGCACGTAGGGCATAACACGTAGTGCTTAGCTCGTAGCGCATAGTGTGTAGCTCTTAGGCTGTAGCACGGAGTGCATGGCTCATAAAATGTAACTCGTTGCGCCTTGTTCGTAGCTCGTAGTCATAGCATATAGCTCATATGCCTAGTGCGTAGTTCGTAGCGCTGAAGCGTAGCGCAATGCTCGTAGCGGGAAGTGCGTGCGTAGCAGCGCGTGGCTCGTAGCGTGTAACAACGATTATTTTAATCTTATAGCTTTTAAACGTGCCAACCGTTAACTCAAATTCTACAACTTGGTCAAGAGACATAAACGTGGCATAACTATTTTGTTGCTGTAAACATTGTTCGACACGATTTTTTTTAAGTTCAAGCCCATGAATGTCACTTATACAGCAAAATATATGGCCATACCTTCGAAATACATTCATACATACATACCCTTGAAACTCTTTCCCGGCTGAAGCTAGATTTGCACGCCTACAAAATGAATAACGAGAAAATCTACGCGCTACGAACGATTGTCTTGCTTGTGTACCTCAGGGCTCAATACTCGGACCGGTGCTCTACATTTTCACACATGATTTGCCTTAATCGTTGGATATTACTGTCGCTATTTATGCAGATAATGCTGCCTTCTTTTCATCTTCTGTGAAACCATTCATCGCACGTGTCAGACTGCAAAAGAAGCTTAACGAGACAAATGACTGGCTTATGGCTTAACAAACGGCGGATAAAAGCTAGTGATCCAAAATCATTTGACATCACTTTCACTCTACGAAGAGGTGACTGCTCGTCGGTGAAGCTATGAGCAAACAATGTCACTTCCATATTGCTATATTTCCGTACATGCCTAAGAAAGGGTAGAATAATGATTAGTCTTTACTAATCACGTAAAAAACCTCTTTACGTTTTTGATAATTAATTTTAAAATATGTATTACCTAATTTCTTTTTTTGGTGTGTGCCTACTGTTTTTGATATATTTATAATTTTACTTTTGTCTTAGCTGTTAATTATTTAGTCAGTATTCGTGTGAATCTGTACTAAAGTGGCGCAATGTTACTATTTTTCTGCTAAATTTGTATAATGTATCTGTTGGTTCACCATGAAATAAAGAAGTAAATAAAGCTTATAGATTTTTGGCTGGCCGTGTATGGCGAGTAAAAATGGTCAAAAACCTTTTTAATTTTTAACTACTAAAATCTTAACGAAAATGAGCCCATTTGAAAATGTAAAGATATTTACGAGGAATCTCAGTGTACCTATACAACATCAGAAAAAATATACAAGTACTTTATTACCTCTATTGTCTTATGGTACCCATGCTGCCGCTGCCCATGGATTTTAAATGCTGAAGATATCTAGATATATTTATATAAAAATAGTTCTAATTACACTCTTCTTTTAGAGATCAAACTAAATGAATGCTTTCAGAACCATTTCCATTGCCCTCACGTAGATATTAACATAACATCACGCCTTTTATCCCCAAAGGGGTAGGCAGAGGTGCACATTATATCGTACAATGTAACACCCACTTTTCACTATTTATGTTATGAGTCCCATATAATCGGGGATGAGCCTATCCGTAGATACTAGTACTAGTTCAGATCGATCTCAATGTTAAGTTGCAGATATTTGCCGCTCGGTGCGCTTATAAATCATCATGCATACAGATGTAAGACTGTGTATTTATTTCACTGTTTTATATTATACTTACTTAAAATTTCTCTATTCTACTGCATTATGACCAGTATTTAATCATTGAATCTGATTTTTGTTATGTTGAATATACTAACCATGTCCTATAGTATAAATTTAATGTGATCAATCTTCGCTGCACTCATTTGGATCCAGTCCAACACTGAGGATTTCTTGTCGGGAATAGGTCGGGAATATAATCAGTCGAAAAAGTGAGTATATGTATAAGGTGCATGGACATTTACCATATAGGTGTATGATGTTTGGTAGTGTTTATAGAAACACTTAATGATAATGTGTTTTGTATGTATACCTATGTGTTGCAGTATTAAATTATGTACTACTACTATATAACTTAGGTAATATTCTTCCTGCATGCCTTTGTCCAAAGTTATTTAGTCTCGATATTTATTAAAATTATATCACAATGACTTAACATCATCCACTCAGTGTATCCATCTTTGCTTTGGCACCTTTCAGTTCTTCCACGTTCAAACTCAGCACTTGCATCAATTTTCATTCTTTCTTCTCATCAAATACCCATACCAACAATCCATCACATTTCAGTTTATAGTCTTCTTTATTCATTCATGATAATTAAGATGTAGACACGTGTCATTGTACTGTTTGTGTTGCATTCGGTGTACAGGTTCTATTGTAATTTAATGAATGATTGAAAACCAATTTTGGAATATCATTTAATCAGTTTAATGATATGACATGCAATCACATAAATTCCCTTACTTGCTATGCGACTCTCGAGTGACCCCGAGAGTCTAACTACACGCTAAGAGATAATATATTTACCAAGTGGAAAGTAAGTATAGATAGCAGGTTCGTTAACTAAACTGCGTACAGCACGTACCTACAGACCGAAACTAAGCATAATAGTTAAATTAATAAATAATCATAATTAGAACTCTTTACTTGATCGCTAATAGACATAAAACAGAATCCATCACTTCGATGATGCTCAAATCGTTGTTTTTTATATTTCTATTGTTGGCAGGAATATCAAATTATACATTGTGCGTTTAGATTGTATATATTTATTGGTTGTTGATACATTTCCTGCTTACAACACTCAGTTGATCATACTACAAGTAAATCCCTAAAGCTTACGAATAAATTTAGTCCAAGCTTGTATCTACTGTTGTATATAATACCGCACGAACGGTAATGGTGCGGGTAACTTTACAAAATATTTCACTTCTCAAAACAAATCCACTCTAAAACAATTACACAAAGAAGAAACTGATCGAAAAATAAATAATAAATGATTCACAAAAGGCCATAAACTCTACGCTCGTTATGCACTTGTATATCCTAGAACCTAACCTATGGATAGGTATACACGTATAACTACTTACAATATCTCAACATTGTGCATCACAAATAAGTGCCGTCAGATACACGTATAACATTTATGTATTAAATATTATGTACTTTAATGGGATAATCGAATTCGAAATCTTTGTGCAGAAAAAAATAAACACAGCCAACTATTACGTTAACAAAAATACCGAAATAATATCACAACCGTGAAAAATTAAAGTAGGTATGCTTATACCTAAGGCTACGATAGGCAATGAGTGACACTAGCAACTTAAATAATTGCATGCTTCGTGCACAACTACAAGGAAACTATTGTTCTTCCAGTCCTAAATAAATCTAGTTCTTCGGTAATCTGTTAAATAACTTAGTGAAATAATTAGAGCAATAAATAAATACTAAAACTAGAGGGCTGCGGCACACGATGGAGGCAAAGTAACATAAGATTAACGTCCGGAATTCTGTCAGTCTGTTACAATTAAACAAATAATACAAACTAAATCTCCCATCTCTTAGCTTCGCTCAGTAAACTCACGACAGCTGATGTTCCTTATGATGTCTTAGGTCTCGTATGCAAAAATGTGAGCAAATAATTAGTTATTATAAAGTACCTACGATTACTGATTACGCGGTTAAATACGATACTATCGCTAAACAAGTATACATTAGATTGTATCTTGTATACTCACTGGGCTATATTAGATGCATAACATAATAGTACCTATCATGTAAAATACATTATATATTAAAAAAGTTTACGTATTATGGAATGATTGAATAGGTATCTTATTAATCCAATATTCAAGCATTAGCGGTGTTTCTATAGATATAAAGAAAATTCAGATTCTAGCAGAATCTGAAACAATAACAATTTGGCTTCCGTGAATAAACTCAATCAATTTAATTGTGAGGCTTACTTCAATCGTCACAAGTACCATTGTATGATACAAACATTTGGAAAAACAATAAAACATTTCAATTTTTAACCACCAAACTATAAATAAGAATTTGACTTTTGAATCCAAACCCGCCTATTATTATATCACAATTAGTTAACTGATTTAAAAGTAAACCGATTCAATCGATTTTCGACAAAATATACATAAATGCCAAAGGTTTACAAACAATATTATGTAATGTGTATATATGTTTTTGTGTATAATTAATCCTAACATATTATTATGAAGACACATCTTAGTGTGTATGTATGTAACTAAATATTATGACGATAAATTAATTTCATTGACTTTGGATCACTTAATAGACATTCGATCAACTATTTTGGTACCTATATAAAGCATACCCATAATAGAGATCGAAGGTAATATAAGTAGACAAATTCGAGATTTTGAACCATTTTGGTAGACACACCCTGTGGAAATTGCTATAATCTAGCTAATGTACATCTATCCAGTGATTCTTAAGTCAATGATGTAACTATTACGTAATTACCTTTACAAACTATGATTTGAAGGCAAGTGGTACCTACTTTAAACCCATGTATAAAACCTCACACAATAAAGTTACGACTACATAATTATGTATATACGGTTGCGTCTAGTCAATGAATATACCGGTATCATTAACGCAACTATTTTGAATGAACTTGAAATACAAGGCCGTGTCGAAAGAGTTGCGGACGGACATTCAAGCAGGACTGGAGAGAAGCGGAAAATGATTAAATAATCGTACGGTGCAGGCCGTGCATCTTAATAGGAACGAAAAATCAGTGCATGTTTGTCCCCTACGTATCTAGCGACGGGTCAGGAACAGCATGTCCACGATGGAAGGATCAGCCAGCGTGGACGTGTCCCCGACGTTCTTGTCGCCCTGTGCTATCTTGCGCAAGATGCGGCGCATTATCTTGCCGGACCTAGTCTTTGGTAGTCCAGGAGCATGTTGGATTACATCAGGGGCGGCAAAAGCTCCGATCCTGCTACGAACGCGTTTCTTCAACGAGTCGATCAAATCAGCATCAAATTTGGCACCTTCGTTTAAAATCACGAAACAATAAAGGGATTCGCCTTTCACTGGATGAGGCTTAGACACCACAGCTGCTTCAGCTACATTCGAGTCCTCGGTGAGGACGCCTTCGACCTCAGCAGTGGACATCAGGTGTCCCGACACGTTCAGCATGTCGTCGATACGGCCGGTTACCCACAAGAAGCCATCCTCATCCCTCCGAGCACCTGTAAACAAATACGTATACATTACAAGCACTGATTAGAATAGAAGGCACTTGTATAACACTACCTTTTTTGAAAATTTATAAGTTTAACTGAAGTTATCTGAAACAAGATGGTGATAATAAATTACCATCTCCGGTGCAGTAGTATCCCGGGAACTTCCTGAAGTACACATCTTCGTAGCGGTTGTGGTCCTGGTACAGAGAGGTCATTATGCCAGGCCACGGGCGGGCGAATACCAAGTACCCTTCACCGACTCCTTCGATGACGCGGCCGTTCTCGTCAATGATGGTCGGCTCGACGCCAAAGAATGGGAAGCCCTGAAAAATAATGAAACGCAATAATTGAGTTCTCTCACTGCTTCATTTTCAATCAGAGAGATTTTATGGTATGATAACTTACAGCGGCCCCTGGTTTCATCGGAGTAGCAGCGGGCAGGCTAGTCAACACGTGACCACCGGTCTCAGTTTGCCAGAAGGTATCCACAATTGAGCAGCGTCCTTGGCCAACGACGTTGTAATACCACAGCCAAGCTTCGGGATTAATCGGTTCTCCTACACTTCCCAAGACGCGCAATGAGTCTAGGTTGTGTCTGCAGAGAGAAAAATTATATATTTGTGTGTTGTATAATAAATAAAAACTTCGTAAGTTAAGGGGTTGATACCTCTATTAATGTAAACGTAGTGTTAATATTGAAGATATATAAATAGCAGTTTAAGGCAAACATTTTTGTATTGTAACTGAGTAGGATCGAGCTTTTACTGTAACAATGATATGATGGTGTAAAATATAATTATCGGAATCTAAAAATTAATCGCAATTTAAAAATGATGAATCAGGTTTAATTTTTCATAGTTCTAAAATAATTTCTCAAATAGGTACGCAAAAAAGATCCAAATTGATAAAAAAATCGTGATTCAAAAGCTGTTCACCTCGATGTCGTAGGCGGAAGGTCTTATATTGCAAGTCGTGATAGAAATGAGTCCAATGGTATGGTCAAATAGAACTATACAAATTATTTACACGACGAAAGTAAACCGGATAATCTACGTATCTGAAAGGAATTTTTATAGCACTATATTTTACTAAGGGTCTGTTCCATAGCTTCCGTTCAAGTTTCGGTTTTTACTTTTGCCAAGGAATGTGGTAAAAATGTGTCACTTATAAACTAAATATTGCGCATTGACAACTAGATATTGTAAAACAGGCCCGAAGTCTTCGCTTTTAAGACTTTATTATGGCCATTGCAACTTAAGTAAGGATAAAGTGATTTCATATTTATTACAAATTCAAGAAAAATACGAAGAAAACACGTCCTAATCATGACGGAGATAGTAAATAAATGACAGTTTTTATTAGTTTAAATAAGTAAGTGTAAAAACTAACCTTGCCCCTAACCCTGACAATTCGAGATAGAATACATCAATAATTCAAGATACGATTGATGTTGACCTTTGCAAATTAACAATTATTGGAATCTGTAGCAGTGATCGAACGTTGATCCCCGCTCCGCTACACATTTTGACATGAACTTTAAAATTCCGATACCGTTGTCGATACATTACATTAGTTTAGTTACAATATACCTAACTTTATTGCATGTTTTATAAATACATAGGTACTTAACTCGTCGAGTACCGGTTTTATAGACACAATTAAAGAACAATAGGTCGCGGTCACCGGTGACCGCTTGGTGTTTGACAGATTAAAGTATGTGCTTAGTAAGACTATTATTGAATTAGGAGTCATAACTGCGCTCGGTTTACAAAATATTGAGTAGTAAATAGTAGGGAATACAAAAGTCGAACAACGTGTAAAAATTTTCATATTTATAGGATAGCATATTTTCAAAAGTAATCAGACCTACCTTTTCACCATCTCGTCTCCGAACTTAGTGAGAGCTCTGATAGCAGTAGGTGCGGTGTAGAATTGCGTCACCTTGTACTTCTCACAGACGGCCCAGAAGCGGTCATTGTCAGGGAAAAATGGTGTTCCTTCGAACTGTAACACAATTACAACATCACTAAGTAAATCAGTTCTTCATAAAATTCATCATTATCACTGGATAATGATGAATTTTATGACTGGTGACCCCATTTTTATAAACCCGATGCAGTCATCGGGTTATAAAAATGGGGTCACCAGTATCAAAAAAGTGTTCCGGGAGTAAATGGTAAAGCGATACAAAAAGAAAATCATTTTCAAAAGTACCTATCCGATGACTGTACCTACTTAATAATGACTATTCATGTTATGAAATATTTCGATTCAAATTCATCCCACATTTTTGATTTCCTAGTTCGACAGGTAGAAAGTACAACTATATATATAGTTGTATCTTTAATTACAACTTCGCATTATTATGTCGACAGCCTCACTGTCGGTGGCAAGGTTACGTCTAATATTTTCATAGTTAATGCGTTAAGACTTGCTCAATGCCAAGTTCAACTCTACCATAGCAGTAGTAAATGATAATCTATCATTGTCTGTGGCTTTTAATTTTTTAGTTTTTTAATAACGAATATTTTTAAGAAGCCTGAGTGAAATAAAAGGGTAAAAGCACATGAACTTTACACGCCTATTCCGCAATTGACAGATTATTTAATTACTAGCTAGTAGCTACTTCCACCCAGTTGCACCCGTTCTCCTTGGTACCCATTGATTGTGTCGTTTCATAGCCTTCCTCGATAAACAGGGACAACACTAAAAGAATTTTTCAAATCGGACCAGTTGTTCCTGAGATTAGCGCGTTCAAACAAATAAACGAGCAAATTCTTTAGCTTTATACAATAACTAGCTGACCCGGCAAACTTCGTACCGCCGGAAAAATTTACGGCGGAAAAATTTATTTATTTCAGTACTTAAATCATCCAAATCGGTTCAGCCGTTCTCAAGTTTTAGCGAAGTACGGAAGAAGAACGCAAATTCATTTTTATTTATATAGATATAAGATTTATTAAAATAAAATAGTTAAGATGATTCTGTTTACAATGTATTGATTATGGATAAGACGACCCATTCGTCCTAAGATCTAATATTGAACTAATGTGAACTTGTTCTTCTTACGAACACGGAGTAAATGAAGGTCATTTAGTAAAATATCAGTACAACATCAAGTCATCTCAATTATAACTTAGTAGTAAGGCAACTATTACATTATCTTTTTTTACACATGTATCATCAAACTGTGTACAAGTTGATAGTATGCAAGTCAATTCCTAAGTTTTAGTTTTAATTAGATTGTTGTGCCTACTCGATGAGTCACGCTCAAAGTACCTAGCTACTAAGTGTATTTATAACTTGTCGCTGTGATTGGTACCAAAAATGATATGACTGCTTATCAAATCACTTAGGAAAAATACTCCTGAATAACAAAGTTGTTACGAAACAGCATGTGATATGTCCTAACAAGATGAACACATCATAAATGCCTACACAATGGCACCAGTTAGCAAATAGCAACATCATTTTTGGAAAATTCCTCTTCCTAAAAAGATAAACATGATAAAGCAAAGTCATGATTTCCTCTCACTGTTAATAAGTATCTAACCCACCTATCAAAATCTATATATATAAAAGAAAGTCGTGTTAGTTACACTATTTATAACTCAAGAACGCCTCAATCGATTTAGATGAAAATCGGCAAGGAGGTAGCCTAGAAACAGGATACGGACATAGGATACTTTTTATATAGTACTTTTTTTACTTTTTACCGAAAATCACGAACGGGGACGGAGGGAAAATGGGATGGCGCGTACGAAGTCGCGGGCAGAAGCTAGTATTTATATAATTATAGCAACCTAGCTAGAATAGGCTGAAGCGTTGGAAAATTCGAGATAGCTACAATAATTGTATTAAATTTGCACAAAAATAACAAGCAGTAGCTTACCATGACAGAAGTGGCAGCGTTGGCCATGGGTGCATACACTACGTAGGTGTGGCCGGTGATCCAGCCCACATCGGCCGTGCACCAGTAGATGTCCTTCTCACGGTGGTCGAACACGTAGCGGAATGTCGCCGCGGCATACAGCATGTACCCAGCAGTTGTATGCAGTACACCCTTCGGTTTTCCAGTAGAACCACTGGTGCAGCAAACATTAACATTTTAAAACAGAACGCGTAAAAACTGTTACAGAATTTATAGACAATAATTTACCTAGTGTAGAGCATAAACAGCGGGTCGTCAGGGGTGAGCCATTCTGGTGGGCAGATGGTCGACATTCCCTCCACGATATCATGCCACCAGATATCGATATCTTCGTTCCACTTATACTGCAAATAATGAGAGATGTTTTAGATGCAAGAAGACCTTCCTTTCTTACGGTGATACCTTTCTACTGAATATGTAACACGTCGTAGATGGAATGAGTTCTTACCAGGGTCTTAACGTCATCGGGGATCTTCCCACATGGAGTCACTCTATCCAAATGGGGGACCACAATGCACATATCAACGTAGTGGTTGTACTTCTCCTTTGCTTTCTGAATAGCCTCGTCACACGTGTTCTTCAAGACAAGCAGCTTCTCTCCTCGCCACGCGCCGTCTGCCGTAACTATAGCTTTTGCTTTACAATCAGACATGCGCTCGGCCAGCGAATCGGATGAAAATCCAGCGAACTAAAATTATAAATATATTACTTCATTAACCTCATAAAATTTTATAATTATGTGCATATATAAACAAACAGGCCCGAACCGACTTACCACCACAGAGTGTACTGCACCAATCCTAGCACAGGCCAACATGCACACGACAGTCTCCAAAATCATCGGCATGTAGATGGAGACCCTGTCTCCCTTGCCGATCCCGCGCTCACGAAGTCCATTGGCAAATTGGCAAACTAAGTCCATCAGCTTCATGTATGTTATGCGGCTGTAATCCTCGGGGTGGTTACCCTCCCTGGAGAAAAACAACGTTGGCTCATAGAACAACAGTCATTTTAGTTAAGTATTCATGTAAATAATGACTTTCACCTTCCAGGCTCGACAATAGATGCACATTACAGACATATGGGCATTACGGCTAAATAAAGTAACCTTGTGGTGATTAATCACCATTGCTCAGGAAAGTTCAAAAAGTGAACGTTACTGAGTTAGTGAGAGGCTGAAGTTAGTTAGACAATGTGTTAGTACTGTCTACTAATGTACTGTATAAAGTAATTGTATACGCTCTGTTTATAATGAAGTAACAAATGCCCGACTTGAATTAAAAGAATAAACATTTATTATGTAACTGTAGGCAGCTTTCGGAAGACTGCACCAAATATATTTTTGTCGGAACGAGGTTCCTAAAAAACATGGCAATATTACCAGCATTTCATACATTACAACATAAGCAACAAAGAACCAGCATACATATGCTTATATTTTTAGACTCAATAATCCGATACGCGGTACAGTCTCTCCAAATTGCACTCTCTCTAATTAAAATGCTGGCATCCAACCCTTCCTTTTTGAAAATGAGATTTTTCCATCAGTGGTCCCCTACGCTAACGAATGTTTTGGTGATTCATCTCGTAGGCGGGATTTCATTCCCCAGGGGGAGCGACTACGAGACAGACAATAAAAAACATTAAAACTACGCGCAAAATCGATACGTCCCGTCGGACGGCCACTCTCGGCATGAAATTTCATCTGTCTGGTTTTAAGCCCCAAGGGTTGTTGATTGAAATGTTATATTTTATGTTTACACTGTTCTCTGTTAGGTACCTTGTTTAATTAAGGTTTGCTGTAGTCAATACACAACATATTCACGGTAGACAACACATCTTGAAATAAAGATTAGCCTGCATTGCCACGAAACGTGAAGTCAATAGCTAAGACGATTCTAATAATTGATAATCGTAATTAACAATAATTTTAATTAGGTTTATTTATTGCTGAGTATGAAATATTGAAGAACTTTTTTATGTTACAATGATGGACGGTTGTCTAGAACAATATACAGGAAATTAATATATTTTGATTGAAAATGTTTTTAGCAAGAATATAAGATACCTATCTAGATCTACTCTTATCTACATATAATGTCATATAATTAAAGACCTTAAATTATTTGATCTAAATAGATCTAGCTAGAAAGTGTAAAATGGCAGTAGAATCGCCACTGTTGTTATGATTATATCTACCCATATGTATCTGAAATGAATGTTTATTTATGGCAAAAATAGACATTGCATGATGATAAACGGTAATATGTCGACTCTTTCAGTGTGCAGGTAATAAAGCATTTTGTTTTCGATTGTACGTGGACTATGAACCCTTCTGTTGTTTGTTGTCGATATAAAAAATCTAGTCACTACTCTTTCTTGCATAGTATTTCTATTTATGTTATTATCTCGAGATAATCTAAATGAAATCAGAGGTATGAGCGATTTTATCGCGCTTCATATTATCTGTAGGTACAACTATTGACGTAGGATTATTTTTAGAAAGAAAATACTTAGTTGCCTGCCTACACCTGTTGTTGATACAAGATAAAAATTCAAAGTAGGTAGATTGCAAGATTCTGTCAATCTTCAACTGTCAAGGAAACGTGACTGACAGATACACTGCAAATAGGCGTGTCCTTAGAAGGAAGACATTGCATATTACGTAATAAGAAGATAGTAGAATATGTAGGGTAGGTACGTATAGCTATACGTGGGGTAGCTATGCGGCGTGACTCGCGAGCGCTTCATTTCAAATTTTTACAACAGCAGACACATAATATACTGTAATATGTTGTGTAATACATACTTATTTCTTTAGAAATAGTAAACTTATTGGTCGAGGTGAACAATACTAGTTAACCTAGCTGTGTCTAGTATGAGAGATTGTAACCTTGTGCGCTACATGAATGGAAACAATTTGCATTAAACAACTGGCTCACTCTAGAAGTCGCCAGCGTGACTGCTGATAACGAGGTCATGGGTTCGATCTTCAGTTCAGAGGAGTACTTGGATTTTAAGGGTTTCTCATTGGTTCCTGATTCATGGCTAACTTAAATGGTAATATTAAAAATGTAGGTAACAGCTGCCATCGATTGGTTCGACTTCTAAAATTCTGTTTTAGCAGATAATGTGGATAATATTCGCACGTCCTTATTGTAATGATGCCCTTATTTCTAGTGTATTTAATAAACAACATACATTCGGCCGTAAACTCAACAAGGCAGGTAAGTACTTACTTATCTCGTTAACTATAGATACGTACCGACTCTTATTTGATACAATGTTAGGTACACCAAAATATGTCAATAGCGATCTCAGATAACGATGATTGTACTGCAGATAGATACTGAAATTGGGAATTTTGTGAAATGTAATGTACCTATACCCATCTAGTACCTACATTTCCTATTGTTGGGTGCCGGTTAACTGGGTACTTCGGTACTCATTTGTTTAGACCCATATACATATATATAAAGGGCACATTATCATCAAGTTTTCTAAGCTGTCACTAGTTACTTCATTTTATTTCGCGTCCACCTATACAACGGGTAACGTCCTGTCAGAGGCAATAGTCCAATAATGCACTCTCACAAGCAGTGATGATGATGATGGGAACAATGTGACAGGATCGGTCTGTTAGTCAGGCTTAACTTTTACTCCTATCGTCATCAGTAAGATGTATAACGTATCTTTAAATAATAATATTCATTAATTACATACATATAGTACAATCCATTAGAAAAGGGGAATTACTGTGACCTTGCTTTGATTTAGTCATCCTATTCCATTATCGCTTGCACATATAATCTCGATAGAGTCAGCAGTTAGACATGTCACAAGATGACAACCATAATAAACATTTTACTATTTCCCAGATACGAGTATTTCTGTGCATAAAAATTACATAACGTTGTAGTTTGGTACTATCACGTGAGGTTGGGTGGGAAGTGGGTTTACTGCGACTTTCTACCCTTCCTTTCCATCCCCATTAATCAAAGACTTGAAATGCTCTTTAAAGACGTTCCCTAATTATGTAAAAATACTTTATCAATCTTCTAGAGACAAATCTGCTATATCATGACGCTGGGCAACGAGATAGTAGTTATTGGACTTTGTGCCGTAGCAAAACTGAAAACAATAACATTGAAAATAATCTGCCTAAATAAACATATTTCGTTTGACTCACGCTTATCGGGAGCCACGCACTGACACTAGTGTTGCAGTGCTACATACAGAAATACAGATTACCAAGTTTGGCCATTGTACTGCTTCACAATCGGCAGCTTCGACCCATTGAAAACCGTTTGAAACCACAAAAGACCAATGAAAGTTCGCGACTCGTGAGCAGATACATAATACGGAGATAGCTATAGAACACATACAATATATGTATGTATCATATAATGTACTTACAGTTATAGATTTTGTTTGTTCAACCATGTCTCTACATCTCGTAGACCAAAACTGTTTTACATTTAAGAGTCCAAGTCTGACCAACTAGTAATCAAAATATCGAGATTAATGACGATTGAGATCATAGCAACAAAACTTGCAAGTGTGTAGCACATTCCGTAAATAATGAGGTGTCATCTCATTGCCCTATTTAGGTTCAAGATTTGAGCTTGGATTGGAGCGAGTTACAATTGATCGCTTATTCGATAGCAATCATGAGTACTATACTAAGACGAATTTTGTTTTTAACCTGATGTATTTTATCTATTAATATTCAGTAGTCTTGTCCCCTTTGACCTGAGATTAACCACAAAACTGGCTAAAAGTGGTTGAATCAAAAGTCGGCCCGTTTCGTGGAACGACAGGCACGATATTATGTTAATTTTGTATATGTATAGCAAAATGATAAGCAGTGCACCTATATGTAATGTTATCTGAGTACGATTAACAAAAATACGGCAGTGTACATAATTATGTAATCAACTTTCGCAGTTTATACTTAACAGAAGGATGTTTCAACGCATTCTCAACTTGTTTGATTTTCTACTGTTTGTTTAGTACTATGTAAGTATACTTTTGTTGTTAAAATAAGAGTGAAGCAAGTGTCACATAGAATGGTCATATGATTTAGACACCTCATTAAGTATATGTAGGTGAGTGTTTATGTCAGTACCCTCTAGTGGTAATGTTAGTTGTGCCAACTAAATTAATGAGGTAATAAGATGAAGGACGTACGTGCACTACATACTAAATATATATAAACATGTAGATGATGAAACAACTATAAAATAAACACAATACAATAAACACGAATTAAGTTTTACGTTTATGTATATTTACTTGTGTATACCTCTACATACTTATTGCACCTATGTACTCATGCTGCTATTACGTAACTGTCCGACTGTCCGTGTGATTACTGATTAGTATAAGAATTGAAAACCACTCTTAGGTAATTTTATTTCCTTCCACATAGAGGGTGGATAAGTAAAGTGAACGTGGTGGTTGTCCTGGACGTCTTTGTTAATATATAAATACATACAATATAAAATAGATATAAAAGTACAAGGAACCACGTGTTGAAGCTTAAAATAGTTTATGTTTATTATTGTACCTTACTGCGGCACCCATGAGTGCCATGTCATGTTACTTTAATTATTATGGTACTGTATGATATGAAAGAACCAATTACACTTTATTTATACAGGCAGTATAGAAGGCAATTAACATTAAGTAACATTGTTGTTATTTAATCTGATATATTTACGTATGTCGAGCTTATAAAGCGTAAGCCATAAAACCAATAAACTAATTATATTATTATCAAAGTTTCAAAAGTGGCGATATTAAACATACGAAGTAAACCAGAGCCACAGAACAAAAATGAATTGTAATACAGTGCCGCCCGTCTAGATTTGAAATGTTCTGGCCTCCAACTTTCTCTACATAACATTTTTTTACGACTTAGGAGAGATAGATTCGCGATACGATTGTGTAACTCTATTATTCTTTAATA